AAAATAAGTCCGTAAAAATATATAGTACTGTTTGCGTAACATATAAAAACGCGATATCTTAAAATACCAACATATTTTCTGAAGCACATTACAAAACTCACAGGCACTAGTTAAAGGAAGGTCACATACTTTAAATGCAGTTATAACAAATGTAACTTCAGTCAAATTTTTAAACATAAATCATTTACGTTTTGGCATGCATTCACAAAAGGTGAATGAAAACCTTTAAATTTGAGCAGTTAAAATTTACGATTTGGCGAAAACACATTTCTGAAGGATGAAACTGGCCGCGACAAATTTTGCGGAGAAGTAAATGGAGGAAAGGGAAGGAATATTGTTTTATTCAATTAAGTAACCCTTGACTAAAATGAACACGAGCAGCCTGCTCCTGAATTATTCATGAAAAAAATAGAAATGAGTTCAGATACCAAAAACCAATCGAAAGTATTTTTCCCATAATTTTTGAAGGTATTGCACTACTGTATAAGAAAAAAAAAAGATGCATTAAGATTTTTACTTATCATACACGCAAGCATCATGTTCTGCCGTTTTGAACTGTGCACAACTGTCGACTATGGGGACCCTTTGTTTCAAGCTTTCTAATACTTTTTCACGCACTTCATACGTACCACGTGTAGTATTCAGGCTATTCAAATTTGCAAATATTGTCTTTGGGACAAATGGGACTTCAGGAATTTTTGAATTAGCCATTTCATTTCTCTCTTCGCAATGAATTGCAATATTCTCTTTTTCTAAAAAATGAAGAATTAATCATATATACCATGAAGAGTACGAACTAACTATAAGAAAAATACCAATAAAAGTTTTATCCAAAAAAAAAAAACAAAAAGCACTCACTTTTGCTTAAATCCACATCATTTATCTGGTTTGAAATGTGAGTATCATTCGGTAATGAACTAATCGACGACGGTAAAGTATCGTTGAAAGGTAATGCAGTCGGCAGCAAAGTTGGGCGACGGAACAGTTGTGAACGACAAAATCGAAGCTAAACGCAAAATGAAAATTGACTGATCGCGATTTCTTTCAAAAATCTATTGGAAATAATAATTTCACTTACCTCGTACTCCGCTTTTGTGAGCTCAGCTTCAGCTGCCGAAGATCCAGCAAAGAACTCGAAAGAGATGTCTAGAGAACTTTCCATTTCATCGGCATCAGATTGATTTCTTGAACCGACTAACCAACTGCAAAACCGGTATATTATCGGCTTAAATTTTTTGCGATATTTTGCTTTCATTGAAATATTTAAATTCACTATTCACATGTACAAAACTACACTTTTAAATGTTGCAATTTTTCAAAATTGGGAATCCCAAAATTTAATAGGCCCTTATTTGACCTTCGACCCTTTTTACTCGAAATTTCTTTTATTGTACAATTCACTTTTATATGGATTAACGGCAAAAAGAACGAAGAGTGAATTCTGGATTTAAATGATTTTTTTCGACGAAATCTGCAAGAAAATTACTAACCCTTTATGCCGCCGTTGGCAAGGCGACAACAGTGCTCGATCTGTACCACCTCTACTTCGATCACGAATCATATTCACGAGTGGTGGACGCGAAGGATGGGAACTGAAAAAAGGAATACTACGAAAAAAATGATAAAAGTCTTAATGCGTTTAATGTTTGTATCTTATTTCATTAATTTATTCCTTAAGAGAAATAAAAATTTCAAAATAAAAGAGAATAATTTAATGTGAGCCTGGATGTGTAAAATGAGTTCGGAGCAGAATAAAAACTCAAATATGAATAACTCAAGAGGGAATATCAAAGCAGATATGCTAATCACAGTCCTTTAGCGGAATCAAGAGTTTTTGTACAAGACACGGGTGCTGCTAAAACAGCTTAGTGATCTTGGTAACAATCCTTAATATTTTAATTATTTTTTCTCGGCAAAGAAACAAATCTTCAGAATTTCATTTTTTTTTTTACAAGACGCACTTGTCGCCGGTAAATTTTCTCATTAGTCTTTTTTGTTCTTTGGTGGTTTTTAGACTTTTTTTAACTGCCGCAATCTTCATTTGCTCTTGTCGTTTCTTTTGGTCTTGAACCAGGCGTCGATTCTGCTCTTCCTAAAAGTTGATGGAATGATTCAAAAAGGCAAAAGATTTCTAATCCCGAGGCGCTACGTTCAAAAATATGAAATACAACAAATAGTAGCATGTCCCTTTCCCGTTATTGTCTAACTTGCAAATGAGAAGAACTGGAATTGACTTATTTTCCCATTCTAAATTTAATTTTACATATATTTACTTTTTCAATAGCTTCAATCCTCTGCTGGCTGTCCGGCTCAAGAGTATTGATTTGTTGACAGATGGTCTCCATTGGAGCTGGGTCTGGCTTGTGACATCGTTTGTGATCGATCACGGCAGTTACAGCAGCTAAACAAACAGCATACGGTTCGAGCTGCTTAGCTGCATTGACGATATGATGTGCTTTCTCACGTAGTGTTATTATTTCCTCAATCTAGAAATCACAGAAATATTTGCAAAGTAAATCAAGTAATTGTGCTGCTATAAAAACAGAAGGTGCATGAATCCGTTACGTAGATGTGATATACATGTGAATGTGATACACATGGATGTGATATACAATAGATACGATGTATATGTAATAAATTTTGTTTGTACATGTGGTTCTTTTCTTAATGACATTTTGTTCAGATGAACTTTAAAAGACCGAAAGAATAGATTCAGGTTAAATTGTTAACTGAAAGATAAATGACTGAAGTTCCAGAGAAACACCAGAAAATAACTACATCAAAAACTGAAATTTATTATTTATAATGACTAGTTGGTACTGCAGAATGCCTTGCCTTTTCCCTGAAGAGAACTTGCTGTCTGCGGACTCTATCCAATTCCTCCTGCCATATTTGCTGCAGTCGAGGTTGCAAATCATTGACAACTGAAGAATGCTGACCCACTCTCATATCCAGATCCTTGCATCTAAGGTAATTTAAAGATATTCTAACCATAGACTCCAGTATATCAAAAAATCCCAAAATAGAAATAAAACAAAAACTAGAATTTCATTAAACATGAAAAACAGATCCTTATAATGTATCCCTTTTCCCACAGATTGGTAATTTAAGCTTAAAGTTTACTCTATGATTACGCACTGAAGAAATTGAAGACAATAAGCTGTACCAGTACATATTTAAAAATTCTGCTTGAAAATAATTAAAACAATGTTAGAAAAATGGACGATGTTAATAAAACGATACAAAAATTTCCTAAGGTGGTAAAAAGTAATTTGAAACAAGTGGGCCACAAATTCCAATATGAAGCACTATGTAAATGAAAACGAGAAGTATGTATTTCCATGCTATGTAATGTAAAACAGTAATATAAAGCAAAAAGGATATACTTCTGCAAAATATCTTAAAAAACTCCGTTCTCCTCACCAATAAATGTTTATTTTTAAAGTCTCTAAGAGTAATTTACCTGCGGATGAGATCAATCATAGAATCTTTCTCAATAATACATCGCCGTAACGTCAAATCTCTCTGTAACTCTTGCAATTTTTTACCAAGTTTCGTCATCTCTTGATTATATTGTTGAAGCGGAGTTTCTACTCTACTAAACTGCTCACCAAATGCACCAACCAAATCAACAACTAGTTGATATTTACGCAATAATAATTGGCATCCGTTGACAAAACTGGATCTAGAAATATCTAAAAAGTTTAAAAATTATTGGACAAACAAATTGAAAATAAAGCTCACAACAGCACAATCCATCTAACAATTATTTTCTTAAATATTTTTTACCCAGAACGTCTTACGAAACTATTCCTAGGAGATGCAGTTCCACAGCTTCTTTCATTTCCGTCACTTCCATTGTTTACATTAGTACACAGCAAAAACGATGACAGCCCAAGAAATGGCTCCAAAGCCCTATTGAATTCTTCTCGGCTATCCACAGTCAAATCGCCAGTATATTGAGGCTTTTCACACTGCATTGATATTAGTGACTGAAAAATGTCCACTCAAGATTGTTCGTTCCTCTTTAAATAATTAAAGTCACTTATTAATAAAGCAAAGTTAAATTCGAAAACCGATAATAAATTCTTAATATGCACATTTCCAAAAAAAAATTACCTGAATTCTCTTAAGCAAATCTGTATAACATTGTAAGAAGTCCAATTTTGAGGCAGATGAGCAAAAAATTGAGGCACTCAACAAGCACAGCCGTGCAGTCGGCTGAAAAAAAAGTCCTAGTTTGAAATAAGGTAAGAAAAAGCATATTTCCATCATTAATCGTGGACTAAAGTACGAATTAGTCTCGAAAATAACCAGCAAGGATGTAAGTTGCCTCATTTGCTCACGGAAATGTTGAAAACGTGTAGCCATTTCTTCGTCAAGTTTTTTTAGCAAACGATCTCGGACTGTCAGTAGCGTGTTAGTCATTTCCTGACAAGTTTGTCGAATGCTGAAAGTTGGAGAGCTAGAAATTTTGCAAAAAAATAAATAAAGGAAAGCTCAAATTAAAAAACGAGACGCAGTTGTGAACACTCATCTCGTTCTCATATGCAAGAGAAATATATGGCAGTCGAATGACTTGAACCGACTGCAAACTCATTCTGAAGGAAAAAAAGCAGCATAGCCTGTTCATTCAATTTTAGCTATAAAATTTTAATTTCAATTAATTCTGAATAGATTTTCATTTAGTACAGGTTATTACTTGTACATTAAGTATCAGCACTTTTACGACGCATTATTTTGAATCAAAAGAAAAAAATTGACATAGAACCTTTCACACGCAACACGATGACTCTCGGCAAGCTCAGAAGCTAAACGTTTTCTTAACTGCAATTGCTCGCCAACATCGTCCTGAAATAGAATATGATACTTTTAGTAGGCAAAACATACAAAAATTTGTGTAAAAAATGAACTTAGATGATAAAGTGTACTTGAAATGCGCGCAATTTCACAGTCGCTTTGTCCAGTTTTTCACAACCCATTTTGTGTGCAGCATCAATTTGAACGAGATGATGCCTTGAATATAAAAACACAGATAACTTTTGAGCGAGTGGAAGTAAAAATATTTTATATTCTCTTTTCTTTCCCTTTCGCCCTTTTATTATTCGTTCAAGGAGTAGATGAAAACTTACTAACTCTCAAAATAAAGAAAAAATTACTAGGATGTAGTTTGAGATTGAACGCAGTACCCACACCAACTAAAATATTTTATTACTAACAATATGCACAGTCAGTAAAAAACAATGACACGCTTTTCTTAACAAATGCAGTAGCATCAACTGATCTTATCGAAAAAATGTTAAAGCGAAAACCGTCGATATGGAAATATTACACCACTACAAGATGTAATAAAAAAAAGAATAATAACTAACCTTGAATCAAAAGGAGCGTTATTAAAGCATACAATGCATGCCAAATTACGACTCTCCATCGAATACAGGATATAAGGTTCTCCATGTGCTGGACAAGTCATGCGTCCTTTGACCCGTGCTCGCTCTTCCAAAGGCACAACTCGATGAGTAGCAAACATCCGGGCCTAAAATTTTTCTGCAAAATGCAAAGTTCGGAATTGGAACCCATAATAAACACTCATGTTCTAACAGCCAATCTCTTCGTGCATAAAATTCATAAATGATACTCGGACTAAGTAGAATGACAAAAGAAATACAGGGTAAATCACCTGATGTGTGCAGTGCCGACAGCGATTACAAAGAGCCTGTTGACAGGTTTCGCAGAAATGCATCGGCTGTGATATCTTAAAATCGTAAATTAATCTTACTGAAACATGTTGAAACACACAGAAACGTAGCAAAATATAGCTCCATCTTACAACCCACAGATTTTATGTCGTCTCAACAATGCGGATGTTGGTGGGAAAATAATAACACAAAATACCGGAAGATTTTTTCTTGAAATTCCGAAACCGATATGGAACCTGTCACAATGTAATAAATTTTAACGGAAATTCATCTATGAAACTCAGAACTTCTTTACCTGTTCACAATTAGCACATACATCAGCTGTTTCATGACTGGTATCAATTAAAAATGAAAGCAGATTATCCGGACAGACTTCACCATCAATTGCAATGCCACATACAGGGCATGTTTTACGATTCTGAATGCACTCACGACAGTAGTTGTGTTGACATGGTAAACGAACAGGTGACGAGAATTCCTAAACAAAAGCTTTACTCTCCTCAGGAAACTAAACGAAGAAAAATTTAATTAGGAAAATACAAGTGGGCGCAATTTTGAAAATTCACGAGACAAAAAATTGCATTTGATAGTCACAACAGACCCTGTAATTCCCAATTTATACAACAGATGAGCAGTATAGCCACAATTTGAAGAAATTAACGGTGCAAAAGAAAATAAATAAAAATACTCGATCACATATGAGACATTCCAGTGGATTTCTCGATTCCACATTCTCCAGTTTGAACATCAGTAGCGAAGATGAGCACGCCATTAACCATCATTTAATAAACGTTTATACGCTGATCTGCATACCTAATGTGCATACACAAAACAGAATCAACTAACCCACCTCTCCCAACGGAAAAACAAACACCAGAATCAAACACTGTCCTCTCCTAACAATGATCAACCACTCCCGTAATAACTCCTAATGTATTCAAGAAATCTTCGAATTAAGAAGGTTCAGGCGCTGCGGAAACTAAAGCAATACAATTTCTTAACTTTTCACAGCAAACGTCAAGGAGGAAAATTAAAAAGTCACTTAGCAAAACTAATTTCGTATTACAAATCAATATATGCAAACATAAACAAAACTATACTTTGCGCCATTTCGATACTTGCAATATTATGTATTATTCTTCCCTGTACGACGATATTCCGAAAAGAGAGTTATTCAGGTCTTATAAAACCATTCATACATTCAAGAAATAAGAAGGAACAAATTTATTCCAAAATTTCCTCACAAAATTAAAGTTACAATAACCAATCAAATGGAAATATCAAAATTACCATGTTAAACAAGTAAATGAAAGTCAGTTGACAGGCATTTTCACAAAGAGAATTTCCAAAACCATTACAGCTGTTATTACAAGAAAAATTATGCAAAAAAAGGCCGAATAAACTTAATGCCGGATAAATATGACAAGGTTTTTTTTCTTCGAAGTATTTACAGGTGATGCACAAAATACTGTGCCGACTTACAACTCTGACGACACAAGCTTTCAGACAAAAAAAATAAAATTCGCAATCAGTCGACAGTTTTCAAGAATTATCCGTCTGACCTAAAAATAGCAAAAATAAAGTAGATCGTTATGACGAAATCTAAAACCAGTGCTAGAACTAGCAACACCAGGCTTGAAAAGTTTGGTTTTAATAATGCTTTCGTTGCCAACAGAGATGTTAGCTTAGTTTTAGAACAAATTAAAACGGAAAAGTAGTGACAACATAGTAATATTATGAAGATCTTAACCAACATTTGCTAAAACAATTCCTTGAGTATGAAAAGAGTGCTCAAGAAAGTCTTGATATAGTTCCATACATGGGAACCAAACCTCCTAATTCACAATCACATTCAATAAGATTTTAACCACAATAATAACAAATATTGATCACTGACAAGGTAACTTTAACTGCAACTAATAATAAAGGTGGAGAATGTTATACAAGGCCGACAAAAATTCCGAAAAAAAAAAATTTTCCATGCCGACAAAAATGAGTCCTAGTAGGCCTTTGGATTACTTATTCCGGATACAATGTTATAGCAAAGGTAACCTTCCCAGTGCATTAAATAATACCACTAGTGCTAACAACATGTGCTTAAACTGTAGTACAACTAGAATAATATGCCAAGATGTAAATATTGATCGTTGGTAAGGTATATAGTTAGAATCTGACAATATGCAGGAAAAAAAAAAGTTGAACTATTCCCCTATCAAATTATGAAAATATCCACTATGACATTCAAAAGACTAACTTGAAGAATCTAATAACAAAACTGATGATAGCCCTAGTCGATCAGTTTCTTGGCTTTGAAATATCGTCGAAGATACAGCACCTGCCAGATAGCCAAACTGAGAAGGCACAACATCGAAAATATACTTAGATATAATACTCGGCTGTTTGTTGATTCTGAAGAATTGCCAACTTGAGTTTCTAATCAAAACATTTTATAATATTACAAGCAGTTAATGTATTCGCACAGTTAACGAACTGCCAATCTCAAAAACACCCAGCTGAAATATCCTTTATTTTCTTCGCAATTTAATTCAGCTGCGATATATATCTAAGTCATATGCTCAACTTCCTTTTAAAAGACTATCATTCAATTTTTCATGTAGTATGAGAAATGTGGCTATTCGTGAAAACGAAAAACCAATGAATGAATATGAAATCAATATTGGAAAAACTGGGAAAACAGGGCATGCAAAAATGAAAAAAATAATTGAAATAAATATCATAAATATTTTACCGTTGGTGGATCTCATCTCCTCTTCCCTTTGCCGCATATAAGCAAAATCTTGAACAATAGAATCCGACAAATCCTCCAAGCTGAAAAAATGAGATCGGTAAGTTTAATATTAGGAACAGTAATTTAATACCTTGAATTCAACGAAACAATAAAGATTAGGTGACGATGGCATATTATTTTTTGCTAACTGGATTTTGAAGAACTTCGAAAAAAAACACAGAATCTGGAAAAGACTTGAATCGGAAAGGAACACAGAAAGAATTGGCTTAAACGAATACAGCACTTACCGCCTCAATTCAACTTCTAGTGGTTTAAGTTGCTCTGCCTTAGCAACTGCATTGTAATTTTTGGCTTCCACGCCTCGTTTCATCTCTAAGTAAACCTCACGATTCCCACCTCGAACATCTGAATAGAAGTTGAAGGATAAATTATTAATGCCCTCAAATTATGTCTTGAAATATTCAGGCTATCAACAGTAGCAGTTCGAAAAGACAGTTTACTTGATTTTTTACAAAACCATTCATTTTTTACAACTATAATTTTTTGCCACAGAACTTCCAAAACAGTAACAAACTTGGTGGAAGATGTGTGCTGAAGCATATTTCAAAGATGTCATATTCGTCAGCTGTAAATGCAAACTTGCCACTCGTTTCAGTGAAACGTTCCCGCTGATATAATGTGTGACCTCTAGTATCAGTCACCTGAAAAAAAAGTAAAATGTCTCTTCAAATCGAATCAGTGTTATGGTAGCATAAAATAGCATAAAATGCTATCATAACACTGCAATGTGAAACTGACAATCGCAAATTAGATATTAACAAACAACAAAAGACATAATGCAAGCTGGGCCAACATCTGGCTTGATTCTCTACTTTAGTTTGTTTTTTGTGGAAAATAGCTGACTTACATGAACTGAACTAATATGGCCTGTAGTATCGGCAAATTCGTATGACCCAGTGACGACCACATTTTTATGTATTTCCTCCTTCAAACACTTCTTACCATTCGGTGGTACATAAAATCGAATGCTTGCCGTCTGTGAAATGAGTAGGATAACGAGAAGAAGAATGGCATCCAGATGCTTTATGCGCATCGTCCTCGGATATCTGGTAAATGAAACTAATTTGAACAGCCATAAATGAATGATAGGAGTATAAAAATTGAACTAGCGTCTTATCAGTCCATTAATATATTGTGAAAGAGTTATGAAGAGTAATTACACCGAAAAATATTTAAAAAAGGATAACCAAAAGTATTTACAGAAAGCTTCACTCCTAAAACCTCCGTGATCTCCATCCTTCAGCTCCTTATCGTCCAATCACTATATGATACGCAACCCCTTTCCGTTGGTCAATAGGATGATCTTTCTCCAGAATGTACATGGTCAGACATAATTTGGGCATCTCTCTTTTGACGTGGTACAAGCACGTAATACCCTCCTCCTTCCTGCTCGCCTTCCACCGATCTACAGTATTATACAACTGAATCTCGGGTCCACGATGATAACGAAAGCCACTTGCCAAACCACTCCTCTGGCCGTCCTTATCGGTTTATGAAACTGCAATTGTCTCACTACAATGACATTTATTTCTTTGCGGGCGTTAGATGAAGATAAATAAGCGTTCTCGACTCCCACCAATTCTTAGTTGCACGTAAAGTCACAGACTTCACTTAAACTAATATTCATTTGTATTCGCCTCTTTTGAACTGATTTCATTTTCGCATATGTTGGCGCTGTGGCATTTTCAGTCGTAAATGGATCCACCATTGATCGCAACACAGAATAAAGCAAGGATTGAACATATGGCCATAGATCTTAGTTCTATCACTGCCGACGCTGTCGTTGATGGTCTTGGCTTTTTCGATTCCGCTAAACACAATTGTCAAGAAAGAGGTATTTGTTTTATGTTTTTAGTTTGTCCATTGAGGTACATATCGAGAAAGACCAACTCAAAACATGCCTTTTGCTTTAAATATTGGTACTTTACAGAAGTATTTGACTTTTGATCCTAATAATACACCATTTTCCCGAGGAAAATAGGGATTAGTTGTTTGGTTCGTTTCAGCTTGTTAGGGGTAACTTTTTCGTACTACCTTAGGAAAATATATGACAGCGGTAAGATAGAATTTCTATAGGATTTTTTTTTTCCATAGAATTTTTCTTCAGATTATGACGTCTCGGGGACGATGTCAATAAATGGTGGAAGTTCTGGTGAAAAATATTATCGGCGAGTTATGCAAGGGGGGTATACCAGTCGTTTTCTTGAAAATCGAGGATTTGGTTGGCTTCTGGATATTGATGATGATATGGCCGATTTTCAAAGACCTTTGTTGTAAGTATCATTTTTATGTTACTTCTGGCGGTTTTTCAATAATGCTATTATCACCTAACAATGCATTTTATTAATTCATAGGTATGTCAAATCTTTGTGACTGATTTATAAGGAAATATGCGGTTGCTTAGTGCTTAGTTTGTCAGGAATTGCTTAGTTTGTTAGGAATTGCGTAGTTTGTTAGAGTGAAATGTTTTTTAATAAACGTTTTAGTGTTGGTCATACTTTTTGTTGGAAATGCTGATTTTTCAAACCATTCGTGATTTGTTTTTCCTTAGGATGTATTAATACTAATACATTATCCATTATCTTTATGAAAATTTATTAATTGGCAACTACAAGTTATGTGTCTCATCTGATACGTTCAGGCAATGAAAAACTTTTCTTTCTGCGCTTACATTGTCAAAGTTGCTTTCAAAACTCTTGCACACTATTTTCAATCCTTATTGAATTAAGAGAAGAATTGGATATTGATTTGTCGGATATTTATTATAAAGTGCGCTGCGTATTATTCCCGCTGCCTTATTTTCGGCTAAAATTATGTATCGTTCGAGAATCACCTGATTTCTGGGGACCACTATTTATTGTTTCAACTTATGCATTGTTGTCACTGTACGGACAGCTAAGTGTTCGTTTTTCTTATTGAATAATTTTGAATTCGTCTGACTAGGGAATGTAATATGCTCAATTTTAAAAACAATCAAGTAAGAATGAGGGAGTTGTGGGAACCAGTTTAATGATCCATTCTGCTATGATTACAGTCATGTAGTAATTATCAACCTCAATTTTTTGGCTTTTCTTTATAACAAATATCTTCCAAATTTTTCTGGATGTCAAAAACACCTTTTCATCAAACAAATGATGGTGAGTAGGAACAAAGGAATGTAATTTTATGTTCTGACCCGATACAAATTAAGTAATTTGTATCTATTCATGACATTTAAGGTACTTTCATGGATCTTGACAATTTGGTTTATTGGATCATTTTTTGTGTTTTTCCTAGCACGAGCTCTTGGAGGAGAAGTCGGCTATGGTCAGATGCTTGGTATTGTCGGTTATTGCCTCATACCTCTAATCGTTGTAGGCTTAATTATTTCAATTTTATCAAGGTTAATCTTTTCTGAGGGATTCAACAATACTGCTAATCATATTTGTGGTTTTGTACATTGGCTTTTCTTTTTGTAATTTGTGCTATCTATAGTTCCAACCTCATTAAAACTACTTGAAAAGCATCAGAAATTTTATAATACAGTAGGGATGGTCAAGTGGCTATGATTTCAACCATCAAAAGCAGAAATTTTAAGTGAGTATGAACCACAATTCATTTTTGCAAATAGATTGGGAAGAAAATAATTTGGATTTTTTGCAGATTTCGGTTGTTTTCCGTAGCAGTTGGTTGTTTCGGTGTTTTTTGGTCTGTGTACAGTGCTGGTACACTTCTTTGTGTTGAAGAACTACGTGAGAAACGCACTTTATTGCTTTATCCGGTTTTTCTGTTATATGTTTATTTCTTCTCGCTGTATTCAGGAGTATAATATGAATTACTACAGAAATTAAAATCTTTTGGGCTAAATTACTGTGAAGCATCACGTTGTCAGTAATTATTAACCTCACTGCTATCAAAATCTACTACCGAAATCATGTTATTTTTATGAGAAAGGCATCTGTCTATTTACACTAAAACTTCAAACAAGTGGTTTTGCTTGTGGGACGATTTTTTTTTGAAACGTAGCATGGAAGTGATTTTATCGGTCAGTCCTGTTCATTCTTTCAGTACATCCTGTGTTATCCGTGTCGCTCTCTTCTGCGTTCTATTTTTCGTTATCAAAATCAATAAGAAAGCAAAATGAGCAAGATATCAGTGTCAAAGAGGTTTAATTATGTCTTGTTCTGGTCCACTGGAAACATATACTTTGAAATTACTATATCTGGTGAAATACTGTCTTATTGACTTGTTTTCTTCTTATCTGCATGTGCAATACTCTCAGGATGTTTAATATGTATAGATATAATATTTCGTGGGTTACGAGAAACTAGGGAAGATAATTTCGACCTTATTGGGAAGATTCGAACCTGAATCAGTTGGGACTCCAGAGCTGCCATAAACTATGAAGCAGTTGGCCAGTAATAATTCGAAGAATTTTGCCAAAGAAAAAAGGAAAACAAACGAAACTGATGTCTTTCTATTGTTCCCTCTTGAATCTGATGTCTTAACCCAGCTCTCAGAATACTGTCTTTGAATTCAAGTCTTATGAATTCAAGTTATATTTGTCGTCTGATGTATTTCAAATAACACTTGGTTGAAAAACAGGGAACAAACTGTCAAGTAATAGTTTGACTCTCATTCTCAAACAGAATTCAATTCTTTTCAAGGTTTCATACACCATGAATGCATAGAAGACTGTGGCAAGTTTTAAATTCGACAACAGAAGAGAATTCCTTCATCTCACACAGTTTCTATGCTAGCTTTGAGTCATCGCTGTCTGCATGAGAGTCGTTGGGATACCGGAATTTGATGTCACAGCAAAATACTTCTAATTGTCACAAACTGACACATTTATCCCCTTCTTATTTGGTGTCCATTATCTTTCACTTATATTTGTCTCTGTTTTTAATCGTTTGTTTCTGGATAAACATAAAGAAAAACATTGTTATGATGACATACAGGGAATAACATGATTTACATTTAATAAATCATTGTAGTGAATTCAAAAAAGACAATATTGAAAGACAAGTTCAAAAGAACTTTCAAAAATTTTCGGTGTTTCTTCATTAGAGTGTGGCTTGTTTTCCATCCTACTCATATTGCTTTTGCTTGCTGTTTGTAATGGATCATCACTGACGATGCTGTGGAAACACCTCCTTTCAAGTGGATATTTTTAGGTTATTTTGTCATCATGGCAAAAAGAACTTGTCGAAGCAGATATCCTTCTGATGCTATGTAAGCCGAAGTCAACTCTTGTTCCATATTTTTGTTCTCCATCCTTTCTATTATTACATTTGCGAGATAGTTTGACCATTTATTTTAATAAATGATTAAGGAAAATCTACAAAACAGTTGATATTTTGAAGAAATCTAAAATGAAGGCTTAGGAAACAGTATTGCTATTGATGTGACAAATTATTAGGACATTAATTGTTCCCTCAGTTTTCTTAGCAATCGATTGATTAGTTGTATGAGCAACATTATCACAAAATATTTGTCAATCTGCTCGTAGCATTCCATTTCACATTTCCGCTATCACAGTGAATCCTTCCAGTGTTTTTATTATTCCATTCGTTTCATTGTTTTTTACCGAAATGTTTATCAATTTAGTTTGCATTACTTAACGGAGTTTACGTTCAATACAGAAGTGATTGAAAAGATGTAATTATCTGAAGTAAATTTATTTCGGTTTTTTATTTTCAGGATAACGTGCCATAATGCTCTTACTACCGATAGTAATGATAGTGATAAAAATTTATCTAGCTGATAACAAGGAGATATCGGAATGTACATGGATTACTTGCCTTCTACCAAAAGTGTGTCAACACATCAATGGCATCGGTTGCTTTTTGCTCATTACGTTTCACATTTGCTCAAGTTTAAGAAATTCTTTTGATAAGAGTGTCGTATGTGTTTGTATATACATGTACATTCCAGGTATTTGCGTACATTTCCTCCTCTTTAACTCAGTAACCATTTGAAATTCCGAAACGCTATAGTAATTTCGAAAATTATCCAAAGGCCTAACTTGTTGTCCATTAATCCATCCTGAATTTCTCAAGTATTTCTGAAGCAATAAAACAATTATTTACAGTATTATGCATTATTCCGGATGATGCTATGAAAGGAGAGATGGAAGTATCTTCGGAATCGGTGTCATCAGCTAATCAGATGGATCCGACTACCGAATCTGTCCGCACAGAATCCACTACGCACTCTTCATTGATTCCTAATTCACCATCCCAACCATCATCAGTTTCCGCAATAGAATCATTCCCATCTTCCAAAACAACGATAAAACTTCCATCTGATATAGTGATACAAGTTGACCCAAAAATACCTGAAGAAAGTTTCACGGTCAAGACGCTTCCAGAAGTGTGCTGGCTTCCTGCTGTCACTGGATTGTGTTCGAAAGCAAAAGTGTTATGGTATTACAATTCTTTAAAGGGTCGATGTGAAAGATTCAGTTCTAGGTGACAATTTTTAGTATATTATGTGTTCATTGGAAACAGCAGTATCAAAATCATATAGAAATCAATATTTAATATTTGATGTTTCCGTACCAACAGTGGGTTTCTGCGAATAAATACCTATTGTCTTCCGGAAAAAACAGTCTCACACCAGCCATTAAAGGATCTCTTCATTTTTAGTGATTTCAGGAATGTCGCGATAAACTTGTGACAGCCTTCTATGAAATTTCCTTTTATCACTGTTAATAAATTACCAGAACCACTTTAAATTAAAACCACATTTAGTGTTCATTTCAGTGGTTGCGGTAATTCGAACCATTTCTATAGTCGAAGAGAATGCGAGGAAACATGCTTGTAAAATATTCTAGCATATTTGGCTTTTAAGCACTTCAAACTCTAAATGCTTCTTCACTCATCAATTGCTTAGTAAGATCAATTCTTTCGGTTTTCACGGATACAGAAGTTTACCAATATTCGATGGTCAATGCGATAAAATTATCGTTACCAATGATTTCTAAAACATTTGCAGAATTCTGCGTGAATCTGAGGTTTTCTTTTAGTAAGTGCCTTTCCATTACGCTTGATGTCATTTATTTAATGACTTCAATAAAATGAACCGTTCTTTTATCAATTTTGCACTTTAAAATGTAAAAGTGTGCTGCTATACACGTCTAAATTTCATAAAATGATTTGACGAAAAACTAACGCAACCCATTTCTTCGTGGACAACAAATGGAATTTATCATTGAAATGCAGAAATCAAATCGCACTTTCTTGAAAAATATTATATACTCTGAAAGAATATAAAAAATAAAAACAAACACACGCATTGCATAAGATACTACAAAGCAATGCTTTGTATCATCGACGGACAGTAGAACTGAAGCATATCGGTAATACAGTGTATCTAACTTGAATTACATTAACATAGTTTTTAATATCGGCTTTCACATCAGTACACGCATATATCTTTTAGACTACGGATGAAAAAAAAATTTGTCTTTAGATTTTCATTAACGGTTTGTGATCTAGGTTTAATCGTATCGGAAAAAAATGGAAGTTGGGAATTCTAATTCAGAAAATTTAGAATTAAAGCAAGTGAAAGCCGGGGATTTCTAAACGCAATACTCACTGAATATTTTTGTAATGATGGAGTGTGTTCCACCATTTTAAAAACTTCAATAACGAACTTGATGCAAAAGAGGAGAATGACCACTGTGAAGCGGTCCACAAAGATGAATTTGGTATAAAGTCTGCCATGCTCATATTTACTTTTACCAAATGCCGTTTCAAACAATCAAATTACCTTTTTCATGATTTCTTTTCAGATTTCTCATTTCTTTTCCCAACTCAAAAACTGTATTCTATAATGAACTATTAAATTCCATTATTTCTTTAACGCATGAAATGCTACTTTCACCCTAAGTTTTTGACAAAAATGATAAAAGAGATGTAAGAAAAAAAAAGAGTAGCAGAATAGGATTAGCTAAATGGATTATGCGGCCCGGAGAGAAGGCGTGATACTGAACGGAAATAATCTGAATGAGGGGTTCTGTGAATAATCAAAATCCACACTTTGACTTTCATCCTAAAGGTACCACATTCAATGATATGAACGCAATTTAATCAAATGCAAGTAAAACGAAAAGGAAGCAGGATTTGAACTTAACTGGATTGCAATCCATAAAACTGCGTTTCTGACGAATACCTACCGCAGTTATTTAAAATAATCTGATAGTATTAAATACTACCATGATGAATCGAATGGAATTAAACCGGATCTATGGATGATGCACTTTCCTATAATGGTACAGTGGAAAATTTCAGGACATTAATTCAGTGTTTTTATGGATAATTCATTAATAAAAATTCATAGCACGGTGCATCGTCGTGTTTGTTGCTGTCGTCCATCGCTACTCTTCGATTTCATTGTATCCGTTTTATCCCTTTCAGTTACCGTTTCCTGTTGGAACAGTGTTTTTTTAGGAAAGACTTTTTTTGAATAGATTCCTTTCAGATTATGATACATCAATCATTTACCAAAACCCTTCTTTATTAGAACGAGTTTCGAGGATGCTGACATTACAGCAAACATTTATCATTCTTGCAACCTTTACCAGTGCAAGATTATCGATTTCTCATTGATGTACAGTTTTTACTTCTAATCCTACTGGATATCTGATAAATTTGCCATGAATTATTCTTTTTGCTTTTTATTAGCCTTACTTGATAAATCATAAGGTTTGGGACTAATTTAGATACAAACTAACCAATCCTCCTTCTGCTGTTGATGGAATCGAATGTGCTTCTGTCTTCTGAGCTCCAAGTATCTGAATCTGTGTGGGAAGTTCTGTGTTTGTTTTTTGAGATTCAGACTTTTGCATCGTTTCATGTTTTGCTTCACATTCAGCAGCTACCGCTCCAGCTTTTTCTTCACTGGTTAGTATTTCCACACTAAAGCGAGTAATAAGTTTGGCGGTATTTAATAACTGCTAAATGATTAATAAAATCTATAAAATGAACTGAAAAAGTAAATAAATCAAATCGACTCAATTATTTTCGGGTGTACTTGAAGCTTAAGTCCCAAGCAATTAGGCTTTCAAATTTCAGCCCAGAATATCTAACGGATCCTGTATAAGTTGGAAATTTAAGAAGGACATATCTTTGAAATATGGAAAATGGAAAAAATATGCTTCTTCATGGGTTTAATTTGATTTTGAATTCTCAACTTCCAGGTCGACAAATCATTACCTGAACGGGAAGTATTTACAAAGTTTAGAATTCAGTTACTTACTTCTGTTCCGTTTCATGTTTTGACTTGAGCTCATCTCTTTCGATTTCGGGATTTATTGTCCTTCGAACCAATGTTTCCAGTCCCTAAATATTTTTTATAGTAGAATGTACGATATTGTTTTTTCTTAGCGACGGGAACAACTTCTTAGCTTAATAACATTCTTTCTCATCTGGAACATTAAGCACGAGTTGGCAAAAGCGTCGCTAGACCTAGCAGAAGTAGAGGAAAAGTTAAAACAGTGCAGGATGCATGCGGAAATATGCCAAAGTCGCCATAAAGTCAGCAATAACATGGTTAACAAAACGAGCAGTAAATGACATTTAGTCAATTTCATTTCCAAATAATTCAAAATTTTTAAACGTTTGCAACAAATTAAAGCGTAAATTTGCGTCATATTGAATCAATATACATGTTTGCCAAATTCTTTTCTGCGCGAAGCGGATTTAAATCCTGTTTTGATTCCTTGAAGCAGTCTAGTAATTCAGAGATAACGATTTCAAGTATATCTCCAAAATATTTCTTTGGAGGTCTTTCTCAAGATCGTTATCTTTAAAATTAAATTTATTCTTAAAAAGTTATACTAAATAAAAAGTTTCGGGAGGAAAATAGAAAATAAATGGAAAAACAGAAAAAAATAATAGAAATTAGAAGGAAAAAAAACTTCAAAATACCCTTAGTGAACGCTGCCTCACAGCTTTGGCTTCTTCCGCAAGGATCATTTCAATAGATTTTTTCTTCGGTGGTACTGGTGGCGGTGCATTTTTGGGTGGTAGCTCGGGTAACAGCAATGAGACTGTGGTTTCTGATGGTAGTGGTAGCGCACGGTTAGGTGGACCGCTACGATTTACAAATTTTTCTGCGAAACTTGTCTTTGTAGACTAAAATCGTCTCGTTTTTTTCTATTTTTGTTTGCTTATTGCGTTTTATTTTGAAATGCGAATGACACAATTTCAAATGTTGAAGGAAATTATTTTATGTTAAATGTTATTTTGAAAATATTACACAGCTGAAGCTTTACTTAGATTACTGATATTCCCGGGAAGATGACACGATGAACAAGAAAGCTAATTCATTAGATAAAAGCCAGAACTAAGCCCTTAATGCCAAATGCAACTAGTAATCAAATGAATATTATCATGGCAATTTTGCATGATTTCTTGCTTCGAATTTAAAAGCATTAAGCTTTCTAAAATTGTTGAATTGACGAAGACTTTTGTTTCCTTGCTCAATTCTGATAAAAAGCATTGACAATTCGCCATAAGCCGTTTTTATTGCTTTTCTCAAATTTTCTCTTATTACCGCTCTCAAATTTCTTTCTTATTATTTTTAAATTCTCAGGTGATAGCAGGAAAAAACAAGCAAATAAGAAAAAAATTTACAAGAAATTGATTTAGGATTACGTGGGGAAATCAAGAGAGAGAAGGGAAGGGAAGTTCATCAAAAAGTTTTGGAAAAGTGCGAACGGAAAAATTTTAGAGATAAAAAAACTGGAACAACAGCTGAAGCAAAAAACAGAAGTAGTTTACGGGGAAGCAAGATAGAACTTGAGAAGAACAAACTAACATCGAGAATTAAAATGGAATGTTGGGGGTAAAACAACCACCACAACTTTGCTGAAAACCCAACTCCGAGGAAATATTGTATAATACCTGAGGTTCTGGTTCAACTTTCTTTTGCATTCGGTTGATTGCCACTTCTGTGATTATTTTATCCCGATCATTGCTTTTGATCGAGACAGTTGATTGTAATGCGTTCTCGAGAGCAGTTGGAATAGTAGAGAATTTGAGGGTATCTTCTAGAGTTAATGATTGGAACGGTGAAGGGATATTGTTGTTTGAAGGATCGGGAATTACATGCTGCGCTTTATTTATATCTGCCATATCCTGTAGATCCATCTTATTACTCCCTGCTGTTGGGACTATGTCATGATGAATTTGTCCGATTAAATCTGCCACTTCGAAATGCCATATAAGGATTTCTATTGTGATTCAAGCATATAAGGATGGTCACTGTGGAAAATGTACCGAAAAACTTGGATAGCAATTTAAATATTACGTTGCACAAGTGGTGCTGCATGCATACTGGTACAAGTAAAGTGCAAAGATGCAAGCAGTTGGTATAAAAAATCAATTTAGGTGAGCAGCTATGTTTTAAATACCACGTAATATAAATAGTGCATTTCAATCAAATACTTGTATCAATGAATCCTTCAACCTTTAATGAACTAACGCCCACATTTAGGAAGAGATAGGTAGGTTAAAGTTGACCTTGGATCCTGTACTAGAATCAAAGGTAGTATGAATCGTCTTTTTCACATTCTAAAATAATTGTGAAAAGAGAGGGGTGTATGGTATGATAATGGGGTTGGAAATGAAACTAAAGATTAAAATCAAAGGGATTATTTGAGTTGCCACATATGGGATTTATTCCAGGCTACAGGGGAACAAACCCAGAACTTTACCTGGTCCGCAAAGAGCTTGACATTTTCTTCGGATTGCGGTGGATGGGCTATCAATTTGATTTCATGCTCAGTTTTCTCTTCATCAGCAATAAACGGTTTCCTGGTGCGAAAGCATGATTCCGGTGTTGCTTCACTGGACTGCTGAAATTCTGGTCCTTCAGGATTATTATAACTTTGAATTCATATGCTAACTGATTTGTGACCACAGGATAATCGTACGGATGAGAATTTCTTAAATCAATGGCACAAAACGATTCCTTTATGCCTTCTGCATTCTTGTTTCAGTTCAATTTGCACTTATAGTTCAAGTAATACTGCCACAGTATCACTGTTTTATGTCAGAACATCCAATCCTGATCTGGATTTATCGCAATTCAATAAAATTATTTCACTTACCTGTTTCTCACCATGTTCTGATGCGATAATTAATGGTTCGGTGACCATTTGATGTTGCACTACTCGAGGTTCTGTCTCATTAGCGGAACTCATTATCAACTTCTGACAAATTAGTAGTTTTAATAGCAAAGCAGAAAGCAAATGAAAATTAAATTATACGTTGGAATTGCAAAAGTAAGCTAAAATGACCGATAAAACTTACTTCAGTTAAGCTATCCGTAGCTTCGACATGTTCGTCCTGAAGCTAAATAAGACTGAGAAGATTTTTGCAAGCTTATTTACAATCATTAGGATGGAAAGAATTATTTTCAGAGAATTGTTTTATTTCATAATCTGTGCATATTTATACGCCATATACGTAACTGCATGTTTATTGACTTCTTAAAAAAGAAATTGAAACCTTAGTCTGCCTAGAAATGGATGGAAGTTGTATTGAGACATTTGCTAATTTCCGCTCCTCATCCTTAATACATTGCCTGCAAATATAAGGAGTGCAATGCGTTGCAATATAAATGAAAGTAAATACTAAACATTATAATACAACATTACTGTACTTCACTACAACGAAGCAAATGACAATAAAAAAAAGCTGTAAAAATTTTTTTAAATAATTGAAATATTTGAAGCAGAAAACCAACATTTCAGACGTTTTGCCATCAGATGTCATGCTGCTGTCGTTCATATCAATCGTAATATCATGAAGTTCCCGTCCTTGCGTATCCTATCAAATTACACATTTTCTCAAAATTCTCACAATTTCAAAGCAAATTACATATATATATTTTTAAAATACTTAGAAGTAAGACTGACATGCAATTAAAAATTTATCTGATAAGACGAAAGGTCAGCTTGTTTGGTCTGTAACTTCTGAAATTCTTTGTCCACCAAAGCTGAATTCATTTCATCAAAAAGTGATTTTGCCTTATTGATGGTTTGCAACTCAAATGTTGAATTAAATTTATCAACTAATTTCTTTGAAATGAGCCAAAAAATTTTTGGCGAAGAAGTATTTTATCGAATTCATTCAAAATTTTCCTTTCACCTTTTCTGATTTTTTGATTTTTTTGTGTGATCATTTGTGAATTGTTTATGCTCATTTCTTCATCCATCTAATCGTCTAATTGTCCTCAGAGGAATTTGTTTGATTGTAAATTGGAGGACTTTCTTCATGGATTCAATTTTCATCTGCTTTCTTTTAAATTTTATTAATAATGAATGGTCGAAACAATACAACAACTTCCTGCTTATTGCCAATCAGATTTTTTTCATTTAAACGATAAAAGGAACAAGTCATTGGAAACAATTCATTTTCTGCAAACTATGGCGCGGATGACAAGTAACCACGTTTCATCCTCTGGTTTTCAGTGCGTACAACTTAGGAGGACGAAGCTAAATGGAAGTTTCCTTTCCGGTCAGGCCAAGATAAACTGAATGATCTAAATGAAGTAATGGAGTAATGGGTGGACCAGATGAGAAAGGAAAAGATAGGGTATAAGAAGTAATAAGCTAAAATAATGCCATATAAAGCAGCAATAAATGAGCGAAATGGAAGATGACATTTATGAAAAGGCCTAGAAAGCTTCATTCAGGCATCGGATGGGTACGTCAATAATTTCAACCCTCCTTTTTGCTTGTCTGAACATCTGGGAGAATGCCCAGAAAATTAATCGTCCTAATGATGGCTTCCTCAATTTTCTCATTTCATACTGAGTAGTGATGGAGTGTTGCAATGTTGCTTTTTTTCAGAAATCTTCGAAAAGTTTCGCGCAGAATATATGCGCAAAAGAAATATTAGCAAAGTAATAATTATTGAATTTAGTAAGCCAGGTAAGGCTCTAATTTGTGACTCATTAAAAAGCAAAAAACAAATTAATACTTCATAAGTAGTGGAATGTTTGTCTTGGAATCGTTCGCTTATTTTATTGGCATCTAAACTTGTTTCTTCTTTTCAGAAATTGAAAAGGCAAGATTTAACAAAAAAAAAAAAAAAGAAAATTTGAGGAGTTATTCCAGTGATTTTGCAGAGTCTTTCCGGTTGATTTGCAAGTTCTTCCAATTTCAATTTTTCTTAACTTTAAAATTTTCGAATTCTCCTATCTTGAACGTAATATAGCATAATTTGAATCTCGACAAACATACCTCCTGATCTGTCACATTGACTGTTTCTGGTTCCATCAGTTTTTCGCTAATATTATGTGCTTCCTGCAGCAATTTGTCCGCCTCATCCGCATCATCACTCACGATATCTCTCAGTTTTGTTGCTACAATGTCTTCCGGTTCCTCCGTATCATAATCGTCATGATAAGCACCGCTTTCGGAAAGGGTGCCTACTTGTTCCGGAACATCTTCTCCAGGTGGTATGATCTTTTTGATAGCTTGTATCTCCTTGTCATTTTCTGATTTCGGCACTATATCTTCTGCCACCTCTTCCACGTTTTCGGTATTTTTACTAAAAGTATCGCTTTGTAAATGACCAGTACTGGCAGTACCAAGAAGATCATCTGCTGCGGCAACATTGTTCTCTCTTCCGACTATTTGTTTCTCTCCGTCATCTGATTCATAGACAATATCTTTACTTTCCTTATCCGCCCTCACTTTAATCTCATTAACTTTTTCACCGATTCCTTCCTTGAAACCTTCAACAGATTCTACATCCGCTATTTTCTCGTTTACTTCCTCATTTAATTTTTGAAACTTCCCAAATGTCTCTTTTATAAATTCGTCCATTTTTTCCTCTCCTTCTTTTTCCGACTTCACAGTAGTCTTCTCAATGATTTCACTATCAAGCTTCTCAAGTGTACCAACTTTCTCAAGAATTGTTTCACCAGCATTTTCAACGAACTGACATATTTTATCCGCGGCTTCTCCTAGTTTGACTCCAACCATCTCCTTGTCTAACCCTTCAAATCCAGTGGATATTTTAGAAACTATCTCGCCGACATTTGTGACAACTTCACTTTCCTTGTTCATGACACCTAATATATTCTCAGTTTTCCTTTCCATCTTCTCCAGTTCCTCTAATCCAATATCTTTTTCATGAGTTTTGCAGATATTCTCAGCAAATTTCTCCATTTCGTCTTTGATATCTCCCAAATTTTCAGGAGCCCTCTCTCGCGTTTCATCACTGAACTTTGTCAAATCGCTGATTACTCCAGAAAAAGCGCAATCAACATCGTTTACTGTATCGTCAAGCTTTCCTTTAGTTTCCTTTAGCACTTCATTTACTTCATCCTCAATTCTGTGTTCCCATTGTTCATTAAGAATAATAATGCCTGAAGCTGCTTTACTAATTTCACTTTTTAATTTATCAACCTCTTCTCCCACTTCTACGACTTTTTCTGCATTCATTTCAGCCAAATCCGTAATACTATTCAACTTATCCTCTTCTGCCATTTCTTCTTAATTTGCATATCTTTTTTAGAAAGAATTCATCACCTGAAATTGATATATTTATAGAAATCGAATGTTTTTTGCGTAATCCAATGTAATCGATGCAGAATATTGGTAAGTAAAAGGGAAAGAAGTTAATGGCAAAAGAGTATCAAATGTCACTTTCTAACCATTTTATCAGTCAGACCATGATTGAAAACGATTAATGCAAGTAAATAATCAAGCAAAGGTAGATAATCAAAAGTTTTGGTTTGTGTAAAAACAAATTAAGACAGTTGATGGTGAGTGTAGCAGTAATTGACTAATGTTGAGAAGAGATCATCTCGACAACACTGATACTGATGTATACTGATCCTCTTTTAACAGATGGCGAAGCATTTTAAAGACTCGAAATGAAAAAATTTAAACAATTATATATAAAACAGATATTCATATTGATTATTTTTGCAAAATTACATCTTCCTATTCTTTGTTCTTTTTGAAGAGGAAATGATTGGCAGTTTATTGAAAATGGATCATTTTCAGTTGAAGTTAGAAATTTGTCAAATTCTGGTATTACTTGACCTTTTGAAATATATCTAAATTTGCAGCTCTTCTATCTGAAGAGATACTTTTACTAATATCACCAACGAATATGGATCAGAAAGAATGATGCAAAAGAATGCTCAATATATATTGCAATGAAATTATCATAAAGACTCTTTTTTGACAGAAAATAATGAAGAAAGGTGACATTTGCTGAAATGCTTCACTTAATAGTTCAATGAATGGTTCTCTATGTTCAGTAGTATAAATTTTGAAAAGTAGAAATTAATTACTAGTTATTACGGAATAGTTGATGAGCTTTTCATTTTGGTGTGTAATCCAAAAAGATTACGACATCCTATAACACTTTTCTAAATCCATTACAATGAATAAAATGACCTTTTCAGTATTTACTTACTGTTGATGAAAAGCTGGCTACAACACAACATTCTTAGTCAATGTTTTTTTTCAGCAAATTCCTTGAACTAAGGCATTTCGGTTAAATAAAATTAAAGGGAAGAAAAATTAACTTTGAGAAGTCCTCTCTTTATCCCATTAGATAGAAATTTGAATGAGAAGTTTTAAGCAACTATTGGTGATACTATATTATAGCGAATTGATTGATTTACCAAAATGTTTTCAAGAGATACCAAATGAATTATTCGATCAATAGAATGGATAGTTATAGCCATTGCTTCTTGGAAATGAAACGCTTCCAATATTTTTTAGAGGCAAATGCCTTGCTCATTTGACTATACAATGTGCAAAAACCACTCGAAAATAGCTATAACTATCCGTCGTACCGACTAAATAATTGAAACGGTCGAAGCAAAGAAATTTTGCATATAAATACAAGGAGTTGTTTCCTTTAGGATTGATTTTGGTGACAAATTGGCGATCGAAATGTCTCAAGGAAGACAAGGCCTGCTTTACAATATAAATATTTCGTGTTTATCTCAACTGAAAAAATAATATCCATTAAACTAAGCATAAATGGGGGAGATGAGCAGAAGGGAAGCAGTTGTGTAATTGTCATCATTGTGAATGATTTTAATGGATGAACTTAATGAGACAGGCGATAAAGACAGTCAGACTGGTGGAGCAGACCCACTCGAACACATGATAGAAATTGGGAAGATTTGGCAGCTTGGAATAAGCTAGGAATGATTGCTGGGTTGACAAATGGAGCCGAGCAGACGATCTGCTTAATGATAGTGCTTCAGAGAAGCTATCATGACGAATTTCATCGTTAACTTCATCCCTTCTTAATGATCATTTATCCACTAATCATACTTGCGCATTTCTATCACACTTCATCAAATTATTGCTAATTTGATAGAAAGATTAAATACTGTAAAATATATTTCAACGCAGGATAGTAAGTTACCAAAAGTAAACAACAAATAGTAATAGAATTTAATTAAATTCTCGAACGGTATAGGGTATACTTCGAATTCTTCCTGTACCGTTCGAGAATTGGTTTGAAAGGAAGTTCTGAATGGAAGATGGATGAGAAGTGGAAATAAAGTTCGACAAAGCGTGATGATTCAGCTGAGATGAGGAAACCACCATTCCGCTAGATGAACCAATCCTAGGATATTTTGGCAAAGAAGGAACACATAAATAATTCTACAACCTGAGCAAGAAAACAGATTAATTCGGTATCGGTAATGCAATGATTGATTATCGGCCTAATCAGAATGGAATACATTACAAATGTATGTCTCCATACATACATGCATGTACATGCGTGCACTCAAACGCAGTAGCAACAGTAACAATTAATCGACGACGGCAGTTGCATGCAGCATGCATTTCTGCATCCCTTAATTGTCTCCTGGATTACGTGTTATCTGCGCTGAATCAAATCACTGCTGATTTAGCGAAATAAACACTGCGTGCAATGCGCTGCATTGCTTCACAACATGTAAAGGATGGAAGATATGGAGGAAATGTTTCCTTAGACCACGAAACCATTGCTTATTGAATTCGAAAGTTGTGCAAGAAGGCAAACAGTTGTTCAACACCACCTCCATCCCATCCCCATTCCTTCCTTATCTCCGGTAACTGCTGCAACCGATATTCCTGGCACAGCAAGCACCATACGAACCCTTCCTCTACGTTTTTGCTGCCGCCTCTCAGCCTCCTCGTGTATTCCATTCGACCCGGACGGTAATAAACAATTTTTTCTAATGAATTCGAGTTCGAAAGTTCAACATCACTCACAGTCCTCTACACGTCTGTACCCCTTCTCTTTATTCCTGACCAATTAACGAACTCACTTTCAAAGACCGCAAATTAGCTGTTAAATGAGATTTCTAATTCTTCTCAAGGTATATTACGAAAACGAATCGCTCCTAATTGTGAAGATTGTTGGATCAGCAGGACAATGGAGGGATGGACAGGCCGTAATTGATTTGAATTTGAATAAATCCACAGTTATATATGTTCTTACACCAAATTTCAAGTATCACATATCAATGTGACATGACAACTCCACACTCCTTTTCTCGCTCATAGAGATTAGTTTCAATTGGAGCGTGGGACACTTCTTTCCTATCAATAAATTTTGCCCTTATGTCAAAAGTAACAAGTACTAAGCATTCTTTACAACTTAGCTTACACAATTGATGACAACAGCTATGCATTCAAGAAATAAGTAAGCCTATTCTCCCATTGTTAGTGTATGTGTTTCACTATAATATCCAAAAAATTGCATTAAAACGTGATATTTCAATGCTTCCTTTATACAGCAAAAGTGTTCAGAATGAAAATTGGATTTATAAATTGAAAATTAAACAAAAAAAAAAGAAAGCTTAACTAAATAGGTTTTTTTTATTTTCTATGTTTATATATGGCTATCTCTTCAATATTAATTCCACTGCCATCTTGCTATTAGTCAATAAAAATTCAATACAAATTCACCGCGATTTATTAGACTGTCCCATGACTAATAATGCATCACCCTTATCTTGCAGTATAATTAATCAATTTAAAGGTTGGTGAAATGACGTTCATCACACTTTGCCGACAAGATCATCATCTAGATTCAATTTTGAAATCTCGAATTGATTCTAACGACATCATATTGCGCACACTGAAATACTTCCAGTTACTTGGCAGAAACAATTTGACAATTTTGACATCACGACAATTCTTTCGAAATCCTGCTAGTTTCATTTTGCGAATAGGAAAATGTAAACGAAATGAAACGAATTCAAGAATTTTTAAGATCATCACAAAAAACAATAATAATTTTGCTATCGAAAAATAAGTCTGAAAGAATGACAAGAACAGAATTTATTTCATCCCATTATTTTTCCTCTGCGTTTTTCAAGGCAGCCGATTTAGTGACATTTATGCCCCAAAGCTTTCTCGAGTGGATCAACGCATCAGTCCAAAAGTCAGTATTAAATATATTAGTAGGAATAAAATGAAATCAGATGCTGACAAATGATAAACTAAACGTAACATATAGTATTGATAATTCGGTACGGGAAACGATAACTTGAGAATCAAAATGTGATGATTATGAAGGAAAAAAGAAATCCGACAGATATAATAAGTTAGGGTGATGCTCGAAACTCTCTTAAGACTGATGTTAGTGATGGGAAGGCAATAGTGCCAATGATAAGATAACATGATGAGAATGATATATTAGGACGATATTGATAAAATAATAAAGATAGGATCATGTTAAGAGAGTGGTAATAACGATAAGGAACTAACTAGAGCTATATGATTGTAATCGCGAAACAAGATCGGAGAGAACAGTAAGAGTTGTCCCCTTATTGATTACTATCTGATAAAGAAGTAATCAATAAGTAATTCAGGCAAAGGTGATGTTTAGTGATGAATATCCGAAAGTCAACCACGGCTAGATCTGGCCTACAATTCTGTCTCAGTAACATCCCATTAAATCCCAAAGTGAACATTGTAGTTTATGTGTTATATTTGAATACACAGTGCAGACAATGCACACCAAACAGTCATCAGTGTTAGAATATAAGTGAATATGAGAAATGAGGTAAAAAGAAAGCAAAATTATGACCAGAAAATAAGCGGACCTGTAGCTAAAGCTGAAATTTCATAATTCTTATTTCAGAATTGAAAAATTTTATTTCGAACGAATCAAACTGATGAGATATTTTAGACACATTCCTTTAAAAAATTAATTAATATCAATTTTGCAATGAATTTTGTCAATAGCCACTGCATAGAATGATTTGATTATCAGTTGAGTCATCTTATACTTTAGAAATTTGAAGAAAAATGATTGAGAAAAAGTAATAGCCGATTTGAGGGGTTGGAAAACAGTTGACTGAATGACAAAAATATTCAAAGGAGCAAATGAATGGTAGTTGATAAGTTGACAATACAATAGAATATGGATGAAGAAAATAAACAGCTGATAAATTGAATGGGATTGAGAGAATCACCAAAATTAGGAAATTCATTTATGGGAGAAAAATGTGGAGAAGAGAGAAAGCGATGCCATCAGGTGTTTCAATTCACTCCTCATATCATTTTCAACAACCATTGCTTTCTTTTCCTTTCTATATAATTAAAAAATCTTTTAGTCTCAGATGCTCACCTTCCCTATATTACACTCCTTAAAACTGTATGTATGAAACAGTTCTAACTTTGGGAAATCATTATTTGATAATAACAAAGCATTCAGCTCCAAATCCAGTGAAAAATTTTTAGGATTTTTGAGAGAGAGGTATGATAATAGTAAACAGTGCAATTTCTGTAAGATACATTTCTTAAATGATTTTAAATTTCAAAAGCTCATAATTGGTCTTAATAGGAAGAAGAATTACGAAGAATCAAGAGGTCATAGTTATTAAGAGAAAAAAAAGAAACTTAGTGCAAACAACTGTTATCACTAGGTTAATGCGAAACGATACGAAACGATCTTCATTACAATCCCTTTTACAGCACTTCCTCATCCAATTAACATCTCCCAGTCATTTTTAAGGCAGTAGCAATACTGAAAAACAAAAATGAACTGAAAATTTATGAATTGAAATAAATACGCATTCGCTTGATCAGAACAAAAACTTTTTCTGATAACAAAGATGCTGTCATTGGTGAGAACTCGATAAAGCCGCCACCCAATTCCAGCTCCCTTGCTCAAATAATTCTGCCCCCTTTTGTTGCCTTGATATTGTTGAGAGATGCAAAAACATAAAGTGCAATATGGTAAGCTCTAAACTATTGCATTGCACAATGAAATGGATGTTGAATCATCTTCCAAGCATTCCAGTTTTCTTGTTTCAAATAATTACTGAAAACACTTTTTTTATTCAGCCCCTCAAATATCAAAACGTTAATCTATCGCAAATGTGTAAATTGATGCCTTTACCTTTGCTAACTTAGGTTACACTGATTTACTTCTAAGTGTAAGGTAACTCAAAGGTTTTCGAGCGATTTATAAATACTGATGACAAAAATGACGTGAAAAAAGCTGGGAGAATGCATGAAATATGTTTACTCCTCCAAGCCAGAATTTGATTTCGATTTTTTGATTTTACAAATCACTCTTGGAAGTAGAATGTTGTGAAGGTTTGCAATTGCGACGAAGATTAACAGTTGTCCACAATGAGTCAATAATGGAAAAGGTCAAATTGTTAGTTTAGTTCTCAAAACTTACACTCAAAAACTTCGTACTTAAAAATGATGCTTGAAAGGATGAGTCACCTTGCAACAGCTTATTTTAAAAGAAAAGAAAGTGATAATTCAAACCTGATCGAAATTGCTTCTTGCATCAGTTGATGAGTGTAGAAATGTTTTCATTCGATCAATGGATGTGGTGAGAAACTTTTCATCTTTTTCAGATATGCTCAAATGATGACGCAAAAATGAATTTCATGGAAAATTGAGGGAAACGAAGAGATGGATAAGTTGGCAATTAACGAACAACTCGAAGCCATTAAAGTCATACCTTCAGAAGGTGACGAAATGCAAGAATCGGTTGTCTGCAAATTATGGATATCCTTAATTCCTAATGGACTTCATTTTTGCAATGGAGAAATGATATTTTGAGCGGTCAAAATCTATTAATATGTGATAGCACGTCTGAACCGATATTCTCCATTCAACAGTTATCAGTGTTATATGAAACCAGAAATTATACGACTAGAACAAAATCAAACACTCATTTTAGCATAATTTTCATTCACATTTTTAAAATAAAATGATTATTTTAAACTTTCGTTTTTTGAGTTTAAAATAATTACCTTTCTTAAAATAATCAGTAATAATTGAGGAAACGAATTCCCTTCCTTCAGAAAATTTCAATGTAAACAGTTAGCTGAATCGAAATGAAGAATCAATTCGGGTACCAAAACACGTTATGACATGAAAGTTTATTGTAGATTATGTGATTGATTCTTCGCAATGAAAGGAAACATAAGAAGGAAATAGGTTTGACGATGAGATTTCCCTTACAATTTAAACGTAATTAATGAAATAAAAGGTAGTAACATTTATGGAAAACTGTGCTTTTCTTTTCAGAAACATCCTTTTGTTGAAGATGAAAGTTCTAGTACATCCAGCTTCTTTTTAGTATTTGTTAAGTCAGGCCACAAGTCTAATATTCTACAGGCCTTATTTTAGTTTTGCGAGACCAAACTTCTTCCTTTTTTCCATAACTTTTTAACTCTTGAACTCGTCAAAAAAATGATATCAAGCTGTATGGTCAGCATGGGGTAGCACCGTCGTGTAGTAAGTAAAACTGTCGCTGTTAGTGTAACAGGCATTCCTGTTTTATTAAACCGTCACAATCTCTACACTAAAATTCACATAATCCTAAATTTGTTGTGGAAGTACTAAAAAGGAAATTTGCTCATTTGATTACGAAAATTTTAAAAATTAATTTCTAAAAGTCTCGAGCAAAATATAAAACTTCAAACAGAGACAGCAATTCCCTATGAGTTAAATTTATTCCACTAAAATCTCTAATCTGAACGAATGAATGTTTTTGTGGATAAGCCTTATCTGTCATGTTTGTTTTCAAAGATCGTCCCCTCTTCCCTTAATATTCTCCTAAACCATCATTCGAAATAAATATTAACTATGAAACGCATCATAAATTTTGCAAGCAACCAAAAATCATTTACTTATTAAGACAAATTACGAATATCTATGGTACTGCAAAAATGCACATGTATGGACAGTTGAGGAGAATCGGGTTTAGATTTTTTAAAATCTATTCATGACAGTATTTCGACTTCCGCCAATTTTTTTACGGAGATTAAACTTGTTTTTTTCCTCATTGGACAATAAATCGGGCAATCAAAATCCAGAATTGAACATTAAACTCATAAGGATGTTTCGACACTCAATTAAAAACGCTAAATCAGTTTATATGTAGAAAGACACAAGTTTTTAATTCATTGAAATTTAAAACATGAACAGATCCCAGTTGCATTTGAAGGTTTTTGAAACATAAAAAGAGTAATAAAACTAAATTGTTCAAAAACTTTCTGGAATGTTTGGAAATGTCCGAAAACTTTCTTCTTTTAGACATAAGTAGTCAAGTCAAAGAGGAATCAAAAGAAATATCAGGCTTATTAGACGTCAACTTTCGGAAAAAAATATTATTTAGACTGGATTAATTACAAATACTCTCATTCATCTTGAATACTTGACATTATTCTGGAAAGCACTGATTGCAAGAGTTAAGACTTTGCAGAGCATTGCCTACATATTGAAAATTTGATGGAATTCTAAAATTGAGACGAACACTCAAAATCCAACTTGTCCACAAGTTGATATACAATCAGCTAAGGAACGGAAATTGTTCAGATTACCACCACAACCCGTGTATTCGAATGATACGCACTGATTCTGCAATTGTAAATCAAATACTACTTTTGAAAAAAAAACGAAGAATTTCCTCATAAGAAAATAGCCAAACACAATAAGATTCGATAATAAATGATCAGAGTTATTGACAGATGATTTACAGATAACAACAATTTTTTAAAAATAAGCGATATAACTAAAATGAAATGTTCATTTACTTATCATTCATCAAAGTGCCATTTTGTCAGGTAGAAGTAAAATTGCTGTATTATATGAATGAGCAAATATACAAATAGAGCAACTCATGAAAATCCTGTCAAGCTGTGTCGCGTCGAGGGATCTTTCAGTTCTTTCATTCTGGACGTAAATTCCTCGCATTTTTTTGACATTGTTTCATATCTTGTGGGGGTTTTTATATTGAATAATAGAATCATTTCCTATCACTATCAAAATTACACAGAAAGTTGGAGCAATTCCAAAATTCAACAAATTTCTTTAAATTCTAAGTTAGGAGGCATAGGGATAATTTTGGATTTATTGCGGTATCGCTATAAAATGAATAACCTGTTGTCGATCGAAAGCATAACGTGTTTGATGTCCACTACAAGCTCCTCTATCTATGGATAGCAAGCATAGCTGTTCTGAAACATTTAATGAAAAGTTAAAGAGAAAATAAACGATTCTCTTCCATAGCTATGCAGATCACTAATAAAAATTAATAAGACAAAAAGCTAAAACAGCGTTGGAAACCATATCGTCACTTGAAGAAACGGTTAAAATTAACATTCAATCAGTACATTTCACTGAGGTTAAAAATGATTCAGAGATTTTAAATGAAGAAAGTGAGGATTTTTGTTAGTCACAGGCAAGAGTTAATTTCCAAATGAACCGAGAAATTAAATGTCGCTAAGAAACTATTAGTCTAAATGCATCATGCACAGCCATGCAGACATGTTTGCAGCATTAGTGACATTCCAGTTTTAAGTGACATACTAATTTATAACTTTATAACCAAAAACATAAAAAAGTATGGTTTGCTTTGAATCTGATAGATAACAAAAAAAAAGAATGATTAGGCCCATATGCCAAAAAAAAATGATCATAGATCGAATCAAGTAAAGAACAAATAATGCCTCTGTAGTGGAATTATAAATAAAGCAATAAGAATTAGAAGTATTTTGAATAAATTTACCTGATCTGCTCTATAATCAAGCAAAATCCTTTCTAGAAAGATACTAACATAAGCAGCGTAATTTGTAGGATGAAAATTAATAAAAATGAATAAGAAGTAGTAATAGCTAAAGAATAATAGAAAAATAACTCAAAATCAATGCAACTTCACAACTTCTTCTTATATGATGATAACTTGGATTTTTTCAAAAAATAATCCATCTGAACAAACTTTTTCAATTCATCTTTTGAGAAGAAGTTATTTTCATTTCCGTCTAAATTTACATCGTCGATCTTGAGCTATCTCATAATATCATCGCACTAAATGAGAATTACCAACGCCTGATTGCTGTTGCTGAAAAATGCATTTCCTGAAAATTTATTGTGATTCTAACAAGATATTTCCTAAGTGACTTTGAGAAAAAATATAATCAGGGACGTTTACGGATCAAATCCGCTCGTACTGCCCACAAGATGCGGATCGAGAATTGCTTGATGAAATATATTTGTATTAATCTAAAAGCAAGTACCACGATGGCCGCACTTGATGCACTATAAAGCACATTACATGGAACGATTCATAATTTACAGTTCATTATTACCATTCCTTTTAATTTCAGTTATTACGATCACAAGTTTGCTCGCAATGTTTTTCGATAATAAAACTGTTTTCGTTGTCTTTATGGCGATATGGATAAAGAATGTACTGGAATCTTGTTCGATATCGTTGTAACTCATCGTTACTTTCTCCTTCGCTCACGTAATTATTATAAGAATCTTCTGCAAAGCAATTCGATTGATCACAAAACCATAGGGAATGCTCATTTTAAGAATTTAAAAATGAGGCTTCATCAGAAAATTTTGTTAAATGCTTGCGCCTTTTAAAAGTATTCCTAGATTTGCTGAAAGTGTCATTAAGAATTCCTTCCAGAAGAATTGGCCTAAATGAGCAAGAAATATTCAAAAATTCGTTGTATTTAGCGAACTCTTGTGGAACTTTTCGAAATTACCATCAGGTATCACAGTGTCACAGCGGAACAGGCGTCAGAAACTGAAAAGGTTGAAACACAAATATTCAACTCTTTCCATGTGTTTGATTTATTCATAAAAATCAGTGGTATTTATATTTAATTCACTGATATAAGTCATATTAAGTCACAATACTATTATCAAAAATTCAGTTCATTATTTATTAGATCTGCCTGTATTATTCCCTTAGATTAATAAATTATTTGAAATCAATGTTTTACCAAAGTCGTATCCTTGAAATTATTGTTCAAGATTTTTTACGCTACCTCAATTTTCTTTCCTTGTTTTAAATTAAAAAATGTCGCACCTGTACAATTCGGATAATAGCCAAAATTGCAAAGATTTAGGTTTAATAGATGCATGTCCTTGGCTTTCCTTTCTCCTTTCGTGTAAACTTTCCAATGAATTTTCAAATACTAAAACCACACCTTACCCACTGAAATGACACTCGCAAACAACAAATGTGTTAAAATTTTTTCAACTATCCAAACTAATTTTTAGTTAAATAAATCTATGACATTGTAAAGTGTAAGTAATCATGACAGGAAAAGCAATTGTTTAACAGAAAAGTTCTAAATAGATGTAGCATGCAATCCATGAGTACAAGCTTTTTGCGCTATTAGTCTAGCACTGCAGGACAAAACATTGAAGCGAACAGAGTTCAAGACTGTGAGAAACAAAATAGTCTCAGAAAAATCAAGAAAAATATTTTTCAGATTGAAGAATCAATAGCATACACTACTTGTTTTGCATTTGTCTCCACATTGGCATACAGTTCATGAGTCTATATTATTGATTGACTCTTTTAGCAGTTAATTATCACATACTGATGATTGTCAAATTGCCCAGACTGCAATCAGTGTGACAGATCTAACACTTTGGTAATATAAAAGTTAACCTGGACAAGTCCTCGAGCATTCTGTTTGTGATGCGAAATTGTTCTGATTGCCTCGTATGCCATTGTATTGAAAAGGTAAACATTCATGATCATCAGCACTGTAGTACCACCGTGACAAATTCGCATTACCAGAACCGGGTGAAAGTGGTACTGAACATGGATTTGTTGCTAAAAATATTTGTCATTCTCTACCGGTTTTCAGAGTTTCAGAAAGATAACGGTTCATAGATATAGCTCCGCTCCGCAAAATTTCTTTATACTGACAAATCTATTTTTTTCAATTAACAAAAGATTTAAATTCCGCATAGAGAAAGAAAAAATGCTACCTCCAGGACAGCAGATAGTTGTTTCTGGTGTCGCACCAATATGGCACCAGTAATTTACCGGACACACCTCTTTATTCATTGCTGAACAAAAGAGTATTTGACTTACACTGGTTGTTGCTGGTTGTCCAATACACGGATTTTCCGACGGACGACATCGCAGTTGACAGGCTCTCTACAGATACAAGAATTTCAAATCAGATCATTTAGTTGCTATATAAAAGCACGGATAGTGTGGTTGACATTTACAAATTATTGTGCGGTATTTGCTTAAGTAAATTACTAGAGGAATAACTTACTTTCATCCATTCACTGTCACATGTCTCTTGGATTCTCTTGAACAAATGTGTAAAAGTATGTCTTTTAAATTACGAAATATTATTTAACTCATCAATTTAATTGATTACGTCAACAGTATGTGAATCTTTTTTTACAGACTACTATAACTGTCTACATCTGTTATCAGTAAATATATGCATAGTGCTAAGATTTCACTTCTAACTCTAAAATTAAAGTTTTGTGGAATAACAAGGATCTTAGCGATAAAATCCTCGTGAATTATTTTTTGAATTCTTTTTTCAAGAAATGATATAAGCATATTTGGTTTAAGACTAGCAAACACATTTCATTATCACAGCAATTATAAAATTACAAAGAAAGACCCATATACCTGTGATAAGAAATTATTCTGATTCCCCTTTATACCATGATATGTAAAAATTCGACATGTTCTTGTCACTGCATCATAATAGTAACGTTCTAACTCTTCGGCGCCTTCGCCTATTATCATTGGCAAATTACATGGATCATTAACTGCTGAAATTGCAAAATTCGCTGTTACCTGACTAACGTGTAAATTGTGCAACATTCAACAAAATCACGGATTCTTTGAGAACATTGTGGAAAATGTCGACGGTTTCAGTCGTTCTTACATTCCTTGTACCAAAAGGTTAGATATCAAATGGATTTTAATGCAATCATTAAAAAACATCACCTCCGGGACAGCAAATTGTAGTAAGCGAATTGCTACCAGGATGGCACCAGTAATCACTGGGACAGCTGTTTAAGTGCAGTGATGATACAACACAGGTTTGATAAACGCCTTTTGAAGTGGTAAACGGTTGGCCTAAAAGATGAAACAGATCCCGGCTTCTAGTCTTTGGTAGTTTGAAAGCTTTTTAATGATTTAGTTAATTGTGAATACTGAGATTAAAATAAACTTCAAGCAATAGTTTAAACCTACTGCTAAGTTAAATTTGAATTTTATCGTACTTATTTGTATGTGATTGAAAAGATCTAAAAATCAAACCATCAGGACAGGGATTTATTCTGCAGGCAATTTCACAGTTCTCTTTGTTCAAAAAATTATTAGCATTGCCATGCAATCCACTGTAGATGAATATTTCACAGACTCCTTTCCGCGAATTGTAATACCATCGTTGCAGTGATCCACCGCCGGTGCCGCGAGCCATTGGCTGCTCACAACGATTTCCTTCTGCAAAATAAACTTGAAAGAAATGAGAAGTTGAAGAATTCGCCTTTCCTTTGAATAATTCAAAGAAATTTGGAACGACTTTTGAAAAATTTCAAAATGGCACCGAAAGGACAACAAATCGTTGTTTCTGATGTTGCTCCATAGTGGCAATAAGTACCAGTGGCACATGCCTGTGAACTGGAACAAGTTTGTGGTGGCAGTGCTACTGACCGATTACATGGATTCACGAAAACTGAAATTTTTTACACAGAGAGTTGTGGTTGTGTGGCGCAGCAATCCAATCATAAAAAGGAGCAAACTTTCGTCTGAATGAAACTCATCTTACTTGTAAGAAATGCACAATTCAAAATAGTGCTAACCTGTGCAGGTAGATACGCAATCAGCTTCAGTTATAAAGTTATTTTGGTTTCCTTTTCTTCCATTATACTCGAAAGTTTTACAGGTTAACGTAGTTTCATCATAATACCAACGGTTGGCAGGTGGTGCAGGTGCTCCCTTGATACCTACTGACGAAGGCATCTTGCATATTGCAGAATTGCTTTCTGCGTCAGGGCAACATTGATACTCGTTTGGTACCAAGCCTAGATGACACCAATATTTTGACCCACAGCTATTTTCACCGAATGTGCAAAGTCGGGGTTGATTGGTGCTCATTTCCAACAATGGAACACCTTGTGGACATACATTCACATATGCTAGAAACAGATTACTCTTTTCAGTTTAAAAACGAATTATATGCAAACGATTTTTAGTCAATAACATATTTAAATTTGTAAATTTATAGCATAGGTAGAGAGAGTACTACAGAGTGACACGATAAAGTTTAATTGTCAATAAAAAATAGATGGATAAAATTCTACTTAATCCCTAATTTTTGATAAATAAATTGGTAAAAGTACCAGGACAAGCCATTTGGCACCCTTGCTTGCTCAGAAAGTTATTCTGATTACCCATCATACCGTGATAAGTAAATGACAGACACTGCCTGGAATTCATATCATAATACCATCGCTGCAAGTTTGCGTTTCCCATTCCTTCAGTCATTGGTTGCAGACAAATTGCATATTCTTGTGCTGCAGAATTCAATATTTGAAAATCCATATGGAAATTGATATCGGTCTAAGTTTAAACCATGAAAAACTATAATTTTTTGAACATTTAAAAATAAGATGAAATAGATACCTCTTCCTGGACAACATACGGTTGTTTGCGAGATTGCACCAATGTGGCACCAATAACCGTTAGCACATTGGTTATGAGAAATACACGATTGTGGACGCTCGTCCTGTCCCATTTGCGCATCACCCAAAGCACATGGGTTGACAAATGCTGAAATTGCATGCGAAAAATGTAAAAAGTTCATAATGATTGAGGTCGATAAATCTTTTAAATTTTGCAGATTTAATCAGTAAATTTAGTCAAAAAAGAAGGGATCAGATTTAAGTCTTTCTCAACTTTACGACCATTTTCAATTTTGGGATGAACAAATTTTGCATGCTACCGGTAAAAGACTGAAAAGTTTTCTGAGAATGTCTAGTAGCTGATCTCTCTGAAGACAGTGTTTAGTGCAGTAAGATGAGATCAGTGAAATTGCGACCACGTTAACTTCAAATGTCTTTATTTAGTGAATGAAACCATCTCAAGAACTGTGGAGAGAAGACTGTGCTGACCAGGACAGGCTTGCTCGCATTGTTGTTGGGTCAGGAAACTATTTTGGTTCCCGTACAAGCCACCGTAAGTAAATGATACACATTGATGGATATTGTTATTGAAGTACCATCGTTGGAGATTGGCTCCACCATCACCGATTGCAAGTGGCAGTTGACATACGATTGATTCCTTAACTGTAACGAGTAATGTAATCACAGCAAAATGTGCTCAAAGGTGGATGAAAAGTAAAATAGAGAATTTCTTGAATTGCATTTACTGTTATTAACGTGAGTTCACGCAAGGCTGATCCTTGAAGTTCATTACTTATCAACAAGTATACTCCATTTCGTCTCAATATCTACTTTGGAATGAACTTGTACATCAAATTCTGGCATGTTTTCGAAAAGTAATTCTGATCCTATATGATGCATTTGATAGATCATACAAAAGCTATACTAATTTCAAAATTAATTTCCGAAAAATTACTTCGGCCTGGACAACAAAGTGTTGTCCGCAGTTGAGCTCCTACATGACACCAGAATGTCGAGCTGCATGAATTGAACGACTTGCTACATATTTTGATATGACCATTGGTATCAGTTTCTGGATTACCGGATTCACAGGGATTTGTGAACCCTGGATGTAATATGGAATTAATTAAAAAATTTCTGATATATCTACAAATTTGTGGTCATTAATTCTCCATAAATGTACAGCGAAAAGATAGGATGCAAGTAGTTTTTACCAGTAAGAATGTTTAGTACCAAGAAAAAAATCAGCAACTATCAGTTGTGCATCATAGTTACCACGAATTGTAAAGTGCCTTTTGTTTTGGTGAGATCAAAATATTAGGAAAATATAATCAAATGGAAGGGGTTGAACTGCTATAAAACTGTCACCAATACAAAACAGGCTGAAAGTCCTTTTTCTTCTCCAAAAAAAAATTCACCTGGACAGACTTGCTGACACTGATGTTGTGTTAGAAAATTATTTTGATTTCCGTGCATTCCACCATAGCTAAATGGAATGCAATTTAGGCTATTTTGATCGAAATACCATCGTTTTAAGTTGGCATTACCAGAACCAAAGGCCAGCGATAATTTGCAAACAGCTGGACCTTCCACTACAAAAAAAGACATTTGTAAAAAATTTGTCCACTATCATAATCGTTAAATTTTCATAACATCTAAAAGAACCTTTATCAGTCTAAAGCTCTTATATCAGGTAGTAAAATTCAGAATTATGTGTAAATACCACGCAATCCAGAAGCCGATATAGACTGAAAATATTATGTAATTTGCTTCTACTAAGCACGAATTGCAGGATAAAATGATTAAGCTACCTCTTCCGGGACAACATACTGTTGTTTGCGGTATCGCACCGATGTGACACCAATGTGTTGTTGCACAACTGTTATAAATTGAGCTACAACTTAACGGACGATTATTCATTCCTTGCTGCGGTTTGCCCGATACACACGGATTCTCGAATACTGCAATTCTGGATGAGATCGACTTCGAATCCTTCTCAGAATGTAACAATGGCTTTATCTGTATTCTCATTGCTACATTTCGAAATGAGGTCATTTACGTTCATTTTTGTATAAGATTTGGAGACAATGAAGAAATTATGCAAGAGAAGGCTTCTTGTGGATAATGTTCAAAAATGGATCTATTGATTCACTGATTGATTCTTGAATCATTCTTTCTTCTCTAAAAGTTTTTATTTCTTGGTGACACAAAATTTTGTTCTAGTTAAAACAAAGATATCATACACACCGAGAAATGAGGAAATTTCCAAAAAAGCATCTCATTTCTTCATTCTCAGAGTGAATCTATTCTTGCAAATTTCAGCATTCATATTAAAACAGCCTAACCATAGCAAGTTCTGTCGCAGGTTTCCTGGCTTAAAAAGTTATTTTGGGTGCCCTTCAAGCCAGCATAAACGAAAGGCATGCATCGTTGACTAGCAACGTTCCAGTACCATCGCTGCAATTGGTAATTTCCTTGGCCTCTATCCACTTGTTGCTCACATGCATTACCTCCTGTAAATTTAAGAGAACATTACTGGAACATTGTAAATTTAGGGAAAAGCAGGTGGTGAATAAGGAAGTTTAACCAAGATTTGGACAGCAAACGGTCGTTTGTGGCTCAGCTCCAATATGACAATAGTGCCCAACAGGACATACTGATGGTTTGGCTGGTGAACACTGCACGATATTTCCCTGAATCTGATATGGTTCTCCGGCAGCACATGGATTCACTGAAACAAATTTTCTAATCTGAATAAAGTCAGCTTTTTGAAAGGGAAATTGATATTCTTGAGAATTCTTCCTGAAACTCAAACCTTATTTTAGTGCTAACTTAAAACTGAATTTGAAAAGCTAACAAAGCCAACCGGAACAAATCATTTGGCAGTCATTTTGGTTTAAAAAGTTATTTTCGTTTCCCTGCAATCCTCTATAAATGAATGGTTCACAGTGTTCTAAATTGGCATTGAAGTACCATCGTTGTAAAAAGGCATTTCCTAAACCCGTATTCAATACCTGATGACATCGATCTCCGGTTGCTGAAACAGAATATTTACTTCTGAAAAGTCACTAAAATCAAAAAGACCAAATCAGATCGTATTATCTAATAGTGCCTACTACAAATGAACAGATATGTTGCAGTATGACGGTGAATTTATTAGTGTCCAGTAAAATTAGTTGTGATTTCATATTAGAGATAATTATACTTCCATTCAATCTCAAACTTAATATCGGTTAGACTTAGACTTATAGCACTGCAATTTTTGACTTCAAACAGAATAGTATTTATAAAGTTAAGTTATATTGTTGAGTTTACGTGATCTATTGCAGCAGACGGTTGTTAACGGAGACTGTCCGATATGACAAAATTGGTTGACACCACAAACACTGTTACTAGAGCACGCAATTTGAGGGGTGCTGCTACCATATGCGCATGGATTCAATGCTTCTCAAAAATATAAGTTGATTTAGAATTTTATGTAATGCGCAAAGTCCTTTATCATAGATTGATAGCGCATTCTGATTATAATTATATGCTTAAGTGGAGGAGGGCTTACTAAAAAATGAAATTTTAGCAGTTTTTTGTATACAATATGCAAAATTTAGTAATGTAACAAGATTTTTCTTGTTTTGCAGATCGATTTGCTTCTAAACCTGAACACTGCTGCTGGCATTCCTGTAAAGATTCGAAGTTGTTCCGGTTTCCATTGATACCGCGATAATCGAATTGCTCACATGTTCTGGTATATTTGTTGAAGTAATATCGGACTTGTAAGGCATTGCCATGCCCCTGATCCAAATCTTGCTTGCATGGGTCAACTGCAATCTGATAATAAGCATGCAAGGTTGAACATGCGACATATGTATTGGTACTTGTTACTTAAGGTACAACAGATAAGACATTCGTTTCTGAGCTAAAATCGAAACATATATCTAAGAAAAAAAATTATAGCGACGATGGTGAAACATTATATTTCAATAAAAAGAAACTATGAAGTATGGATAGATTTGTATGGCATCCGGCAAATTTATATCACTTTAACATTAATATTTGCATATAATTCAATTAGCTATGTCACAGCTATGATAAGAGTGATTTGCGACGGGAAAGTTGTGATAGCAAATTGAGATTTTAAAGAGAAAAAACGGAATGGAAAGCTTGGAAGACAGAAACCTTCACATAATTTTTGACAGTTGTGCATTGATGGAAAATTATTTCCGTTTGCGCAACAACCGGACCAGTAAAACAGCTCGCATCGCATCCTAACTGAATTATAGTACCATCGCGGTATACGATATGGGCCAGTTCCTATTTGTCGAGGTAAATTACATGCTTTGGCATCTAAAAAATCCATTTTTGCTTAAATACTGGTTTAAACAGTTCCCCAATTTGCATAAATTATAACAAATAATTACTAATAAACTGCTTGTGGAATTAATGATCATTCAAGAACAATATAAAAATTAACCGCGGACTTGGCTTGCAGGATTAAATGAAAATGAAAATTGTTGCGGCACTGCTACACTTCGCTCCTTTATCAGTTTATGTCTTATTTCCTGCAATATTGCCGTAAGTTTGAAAGTATTGATTTTAAATTTGGAAGGAAGTACACACTTCATATTATACCAAAATGGTATAGGAAATCTTTTTTTATCCTTGTGCAAAGAACAGATCTGTGTTAAATAATGAAGATAAATGACGCTGATATGATAATAAGAACAAGGACTAATTGATGATAATTGATGCTATCAAGACCATTTCCTTAATTTACTATGCATTTTTATTTATATCGTTATGAAGAATATAAGAGTAATGTTTTTTTGTACATACTGAATATGTGTTACTGGTACGTAATTTGCAGTCTATAACTATCAATCGGAAGTGACCAATGATAATCAGCAACAATAACTTTTGCGATGAAACCATTACATTCAGTACCTTCATTTTATTACAAAGCGATGTAAAACTAAAAGGGTGAAAATTTCATTTCCTGAAAATAATATGAAATTTAAATAAATTATTAAGGATTATTTGAAGATTGCGAACAAAATAAGCTGAAAGAAATGTGCACTATAATGCCTCTAAATACAACAAACAAATTTTAAACAGATTTTTTTTCTCTCCTTTTGAGAGATAAACAATCTTTCCTTTTGCTGATTTTTTTTGAAACTTCCAAAGGAATTAGCATCAACAAAATATTTCATCAACAGAATGATATGTACAGGCACGACAAAAAACTATTGTATCGGTTATAAACCTAATAATAGGATGAACTACTTTTTAGTTCGATAAAATCAAATTTTAACTAAATTTTAATTTTAATGAGAGTGCATATTTCAGGTCTTTTCACCCTTATCGCTTTCTCTTCACCCTGAAATCTTGGCTAAAGTAGAAGAGTGTTGCAATTTTTATGATAGTATGACTCGTTGTATCTGATCTGGAATTGTCAACGCAATATGAAAATAATAACAACTACAAGATCTTAGATATAGTTTTCTGGAAAGAATTTGTTTTCGGAATTTTTTAACAAGTCAAAAAGACACTACTGAAATCAAATAGTTATCGTCTAGACAGATTAAGTAGCTCAAAATTGGAATTGCTCGCTAAAATTAATCCGTTCGTTGGATAAACGTATGGTTTAACAATTTCTCCTTTAAAAACTTTGACACATAATATTCGATATTTAGTTACTCCTTTTTTAGTATTCATGTTCTAACTAGTATGAACGAATGCTTTTCGTACTAATAGAGAAAAATAGTTTCCATAATCAAAGAAAAACTTCTATTTTTTTGATTTGAAATAGACAAAAAGGTAATTAATTTGTCAACTGATAGGATACCAGCTTGTAATCACCAAGATGGTTTGCAAAATGAAATTTCTTAAGAATTTTTTCTTAGGATTCCATGGCACGAATAAAAAACGACACTGGATATATTGGCATAGCCACAAACTGTCATTAAATAAATTGGTCTATAAAAAGTAGAGCCTTGAAGTAGAGTCTTACGGCTTAACATTGCAAAGCAGATCATTTAAAATAATAGCACCGAAGTAATTGGGATGGGAATAGACGTTGGCGGAAGAATATTGAGAATTAGGAAGAAGGAACGCAAAAAGTTAAAAGACTGGATTTGGCGCAAATTGTCGTACTCACTCTTATGTAACAGTGCTTGCAAATTTGTTGTCTCAGTGAATTTCAATTGAGAATACTCATCCATTATTTCTTCTTTTCCTCTTCATTGAAATCCTCCCTAAAGCATACTCTCCACAAATATCAAATTCAATAAGAGCAAGAACTTGTTTTGTCGTGTATGTGTGCTTCACTACTTGGCGGAAAAAAACTTGACATCTCTCGACTTTGCCTTTCTTACTAATGCAAATAAAAATCTCAATGAAGCATTTATCCACCATTCAGAAAATAAATATTGTACTTTAACGTAATGTGAAGTCATTTTATCCAATAACGATTGCGCCTCTTAATGAATTATATTCTATCCTATCATTCACCAGAAGAAAGGTTCGCTGAATTTCCTTCAAAATCTTGATCAATCTCTTAGAAATAAATCTATAAATTGATAATCAAGGAATCACATTCTAGTATACCTCTTTCAGTCTTCAATTTTAGAACACCAGAGGACCAAAATCGCAAGCTTCAAATTCGACTTATGGAACAACGAAAGTTAACATTTTCCGGGAATATGCGAGTTTGATGCATGAGTCATCTGTTTTTTGGCCTTTATTAAATCATGAAAAAAGTTTTCCTTACAAAATTTGGCCGGTAATTAAATCGGAAAATGACATATAGAGTAAAAGACAACATATAACATATAAAAATGAATGCATTCTTATTATGACCATTATTGGTTTATTTAGTTATTTAATGCAGTGTATCTCCTGCTGATAATACATCCTTTGGTACTTCTCCATCATTTAGCTTAATCTATAAAATGCCTAAATCACAAGTAATTCATACTATTTGATTTTTATGGTTAGAATTCTTCTTAACTTACCTTGTACGGAATCACATATTTCAATGAGATATCCAAATATCACAGTGTAAAAATGAAGGTACAATAAGAATAAAGGAAGGATAATAGCAGTCGTAATAACAGAATGAATTAAATTTAAAAATGGAAAAAAAGGAGAACGAATTGTTAAGTATGGCAGAAACGCCAGAAGTGATCATTAGGTAATTACTGAATACTATCAATATAAGACTAATCGAAACTGCCAATCAAATCTTTCGTAATCAAAAATGATTTTATGTTCCAATGTGTGCCTCCCCCGAAAGAAATACAAACATAACTGAAAGTACTCAAAGCTGTTTGCAATGATTCCTCACACTGATTAAAATTTACTTCCTTTTGCTAAATTAAAGATATGTCTAATTTGGACCGAAATTAAGCTCATTAATTATTCGGAAACGTATAGAAGACTTCTATCTTAATCAAAATCTTCTATTCAAATCTTTCTCCTTTTGTTTAAGCAAAGCTATAATTAATTTGAATGTAATCATTAATTGTCCATTTGCTAGTTTAATTCAATATGCCAACACCAAATTGAGTTTTGCTTTATTCTATTGAAAACTGAAAATCGATTGATTGCTGATGAAATCTTTTTATAGAGCTCTTGAAACATTGCATACTTTGTTTCAGAAAGTTTAAAGTGTGTGCTAGCGATGACACTTAAAATGAAATTAAGGCATATACCTAGGATGGTGATTGACTTGAATTTCAAGGTTTTGTTCCAGAGAAATCAACCTTCAATTTTAACTTATTTCCAGAAAACTTGGCAAAAATAACTGTATGGATTGAACTTAGTTACAATTGCAAATTGTGGTGTAACGGTTTTTTTTTTTTTTTTTTAAAGCAAACATGAACCACTAATGTGTTTGAGCAGTTGTATATTGATTGCCGGAATTGCTTCTGGGAATTATCTATTCTGCCAATAGCTCTCAACTGCACTTCTTTTTGCTTATCAGAAGCCTACACATCCCACTGCATTTTTCTTCTAATGCAAATATTTCATTCATACCTTTGACAGAAAGTCTCATTTGGGCATGTGATAATTCTCGCATTTTCCCGAAAGAAAAGTACTTCGGGCCTTTTTTTGCCTTTGCTGTGCTGTAACACTTTATTGATTGATTGCAACTTCAATTAATTAATCAATGAGTAACCTGTAAATATTTCCGGACTTTTCTTCTGTGTCTTTTCCTCATTCCTCTTTTCTTCTTTGATTTTGATCTCGTTTTATGTCTTATTTTTCTTGTGTAAATTGTTTACACCATCATTGATTGTGTCACATTAGTTTATTTGTTTATTAGTTTTAGTCACCGCTTCTTCTCGGAATAGATTGAGCAAAATGCTAAAAAAAAAAAATGGAATAAGATTGGTGTAATATAAAGAACGTGTATCAGACAACAACCAAATTGCCGAATTTATAATTTTTAAAAAACAAGAAAAGAATTTTTTAATTTAGCATCAGTTTTAATCTGTGGGAAAACCACCGAGTGAAAAGAAGGTCAGAGGGTTATCTTTTCTTCATTTATTATCTTATTGATTTATTAATATCACATTTACTACTAATAATATCGATCGTATAGAGTGAGTGTAGATGTTCAATGTGATCATTAGCCTGACCGGATCCTGTTATTTCTTTCACTAAATCATTGCAATATCTTATCTTGAAATCCTAACAAACAAATAATCGTGCATTGTATATAACAGAAGAATGAGTCAAAAATATGAAACCGGTCAATATTTTGTTCTGAGTATTGATTGCTTAACATTTTTTGAGAGTATATTGATTGCTTAACATTTTTTGAGAGTATATTGATTGCTTAACATTTTTTGAGAGTATATTGATTGCTTAACATTTTTTGAGAGTATATTGATTGCTTAACATTTTTTTGAGAGTATATTGATTGCTTAACATTTTTTTGAGAGTATATTGATTGCTTAACATTTTTTTTGCTACAAAAAAAAAAAGACAAAACATTTCAGAGAGTGCAAAAATATTTGTTGTATTGAGCCTAGAAACTAGCTTTTTGTTAATTTGCTTATGCTTTTATCACTTCGAGGAGGCTGCAAGTAACCCTTTTTACTCTCTCGATATGATTTTTGTGTGCTTGTTAGCCAGGTGTTCCTCTTCGATTAGAAGAGTCCCAATGATTATTAGTCGTTGACTTGGCCAAAGTCCAATGATATTACTCGTTGTTGACTTTAAATGGCAATTAAATGAGTCAATGAGAAAGTATCGTTCATATTTATACGAATTACTGCTCTATACCGATTTTATTTGTTATGCAAAACTGCATCATTTCTATTCCTTTTGGTATGCAAAATTTCAGTCTTATTCGGCGATCAAATATATTACATTATTTCTTATATACTTCTAAAGATTAGCAAGCGAAAAAAAGTTTTCTGGGCGGGATGATCTGTTGCTGTCTTCAGTTTCTTAATTATTATTGCTAATACCTTTAACAAATTAAAAAATTCCAAATTATTCGAAATTACCCAAGCTATCTTTGCAATCATTAGCCAATGGTATAAGTTATTTTTTGTACAGAGTCCTCGGACTATGATGGACTTGAAATCTTCGTGGTGAACTTTTGTTTCAGAACATTTAATAAGAAGTCCAAAATGAAATTCATGATGACTACCGAATCAGTAACAATTTGTTCTAATAATTTTCTCAGGTGCTGATGCATTGGTTTAACCAAAAAGTCCCTCCTTCCCAGAACTTTCAAGAATTCTGGAGATAACCTAAATGGGTCACGCAGGATTACCTTGCTATCTTGTTTGCTAGATACATTTCAAAAACAAAAAAGGTTATTGTAGGAATCAATAAGGTATTTTACATTCTATATTCTATATTTTTTCATATTTAACCTAATTAACAAGTGTGGTGATTTTCACTTTCAAGCAATCAATAAAGTTTTCAAAATTCACATTGTGTATCTCAGTGATGTAGTGGGGAGAAAGTGAAACGAATTGATGGGAATATGATAGGATGTAGAAGTGAGATTAGCAAGATTTAGATGAAACATTGTGATACAATGGGTTCCACAAGCATATATATTTATCAGACAACTTTTTAAAGCACTTCTTCTGTCATCATTTGTTTCATTTCACTTGCTGCTTTCTCTCTAGTAAAAAAAATTGAAAAGTTCCGAAATTCAGTTTGTATTTTTTGAAATAGGAAAGCAATTCATTTAGGCAGCTGTCTAATTAGAGGTGTTATGTAGTGAGCCTTAAATTTATGCATAATTTAAGAGCAATAACATAGAGATCGATTGAACTTTAGGTTCGATTGTTTGAGAGGCTTTTTAGAAAATTGTCATGATGTCATTAATTGATGCTGGTAATTTTAAATTATCTGCATGTTTCATAAGCTACACCAAATTCAACAAAAAATTTCAATTGATTATTTCAAATAAATTAATAATTTATTATCTATTATTTATGTAGTCATAACCACGGCAAGGATGTTAACATCCTTATCATTGCTATTTGTGGAAGTTATCAAATTTCAGGTAAATTATCGACTTTCAGAGCAGCAGTGCTTGTTTGTCAACAGTTGTTATTCCTTGAAAACGAATCTTCTGTTTAGCAGTCAAAAATGCCGATAAAATCCGAACTTACAGATGTTGATGTTCCTTGCGTATCTTTCCATGAAATGATTTTTTCCGAAATACGGCGATATAGCAATGAAGTAGCATTGGTAAACCAAACTTTTTACTACCATAATTTTTGGTATTATTTAAAAAACAGTTTAATATTTATATTTTCTAGATAAACAACAGTACGGATGAAATGTTTACGTTTGAGGATATTCTACTCAAAACAAAATATATAGCAAATTCATTACTTGCAATGGGAATAGAAAAAGGCGAGGTAAAACATTTTGTCTGTTTTATGCGTTTGTTAATGCATGAAAATCTATCTTTTTTGAACTCAAAACTTAAAAAATCACAGAAAAGTATAAGAAAGCATAAACTGCTTTTACTTTATCTGTTGAAGTGATATCTGAACCAATTTTTTTCTTTGCTCCCGAGAGAAGCTTATCTAATCAGTCTATTACTCTTTTGTTTATTTATTTTGCTGAGACGAGTGCCTTTCTCTGAGCTTTTAAAACAAAATTATAAATATCTGATACTAGGTGAAACATAACATTGGTGAAATATTCGTTCTCTTCCATGCAGTTCATTCCTTTTCATTTTCATACAGAATGAATTTCTCCTTTTCTTTGAAGTAAAATAAATCGTCGGGAAATTTATTTTCCTTCAATATTCTAGCCGATAATTCTATGCGTGCCAAATTGTCCAGAGTTTGTATGGCTATTTTTGGGAATATCGCTTGCTGGTGGCATTGTATGTCCATTACATCCGAGCTTCTCAAAAGGTCCATTTGATAGTTCGCATCTTTTTTTTTAAATTTCATTTCATTTCTCCAAAAATAGTTAAACAGTTGCTGATTTATCATCAAAAATAAACAATCAATAAAGGAATGGCGTAGAAATAATTATAGCTTTGAATTTTCCGTTTGGTATTGCAATAAATTCTTAAATAAATGTCGTTGTATACCATTTTATTGCTCATTTCTTCCTTTATGTTTTTTGCTAATAACGTATTAACTGCCAAGAATAGATAATAAACAGATGACAAAGTTGTCCAAATAAATCAAAATGGGTCATATAGCAACGAAGATAACTTATAAAGTCGACAATGCATTTCGTCAGGAAGGAGAGAAGAGCCTTAAAGATTAAAGAAGACACCAGAATTTGACAATGGTCAACTGAAAGTAACGAGCAAAGTTGGTCCTCTCACAACAGCAAAAAAAGTTCCCGAAGAACTTGAAGTCATAGTATGATCATCCGATATTTGGAGCAAATTGAAAATTAACAAGATCAATGATAGATTCCTCGAGAACTGATCGACGTTGTTGTTCGGGAGGAAATTTGATAGACTGTTCACTTTAGCTTTTGGATTTCCTGCGAAGCCATAACATTTGAGACCCATAATATCTTAGGAAATAAATAATGCAATGTACTGATAATGCAGCTCCTGCAGCCTGTGACAAAAAGAACCTAATTCTTCTCTGCGACAACGTCTAAAAGTATGTCGGAAAACCGATGCTTCAAATTTTGGACGAATGAATCATGAAATTTTGCTGCATCAGTGATAGCCTATCTGACCTTTCACCAATTAATTCTTACTTCTTCAATCGTCCCTACAAATTTTTGCCTGAAAGACGCTTCTGTAATCTACAGCATGCAAAAAATGCTTTCAGAGAGTTCATTGAGTGCAGAAGCGCAGGTTTCTAGGCTACAGGATAAAATAAACCTATTTATTGTTTGTGAAAATATTTTGTTTGTTATTTCCCATTTGATTAGCAAAAATATTCTTAATCTTCTTTGCAATGATTATATTGCAGACGAAATGCGTTGGCAAATAATGGATTCGACGTCGAGGTTCGCTTTCGTCGTACCGGATGCATTAGATAACGTATCGGCGGTATTCAACGAGTTGAGCATCGATCATAGGGTACGTAAAAAACTGTTCCAAAAAAATTTATGATAAATTTGGTAGGTTTTTTATTGAATATTTCCAGAAATTTTAGCACTCCTTGAATACATGCATCCTTTACAGTGAATGCAAAGTGATAAAATATGACTTCAGGTAATTTGCATTGGTAATCGCCAGGTATCTAAGGGATTCCCAATCCTGAATGATTTAGCCTTGACAGCAGCTCGTTGTTCTTCGACATATCCAGAAATGACGCCTGAAGAGGACATTGTCTTCTTACCCTATTCAACAGGAACAAGTGGACCACGAAAGGGAGTCGCCATAACGCATTTTGTCCTCAATGGTATGCTGAAAACGTTCAACAAGTGCGATATTTTTCACTATTTGCCATGCAAAAAAAGAATTGTTACCTACTCAAAAATGCCAATATTTAACAAATTAATAGGTTGATATTTGCTTAAATTAGAAGTTAATAGTAATATTTTAACAAGCTAAGAAATCTTTATTTAATTCCTGAAGAGAAAATAGAATTAGAAGAGAAATTGGTAAATAGCAGGTGTCTGTTCTAGAAAGAGTTAGTGAAGTTCCTGAACTATAATATCATTTCAAATCTCGCACATCATTCCAACTTCAAAGGTTCATTTCTTTGTAACAGAGATATATCCATAAAATTTCAAATACTGTTGCACTGCTAAGAACTGATCGAGTAGTAATGTGATGATTCAACGTCTGATAGCAACTAACAGATTTCGTTACCAATTCATCGGAACAATCGATCAGTATTTCATGCGCACATTTGTCATGATTTTATTAATTTCTCATATATTTCTTCATCTCCTTAATATTTTCCCAAGAAAATGTCATATTTCACTGCTTCTGAGAGTTAAAACATATTTTATTATTGGGAAGATAATCTACAGTTGATAATCATTTTGTTTGCATTTCAGTAAGGAGGCTTACGATTTACCAAGTCGTGGTGAGTTTATTCTTTCCAGTGCTCTATTTCATGATACTTTCGGACGTGATGTGCTCTTTTCGTCGTTATCAAACGGTGCAACAGTGGTTACATTGAAAGATGAAGTGGAAACATTAGCAAAATGCATTCATGTATACAAGGTTTGATATCAGTTTATGCCTGCTTACTTTTCTGCTTTCAAAACTACATTTTAACTACCTTAATCACTTCAATGGCACTGACTGTATGTCGTAACCGAGGGAAGCTAAAGCTTCATTACTAAATATATCGTAATCTAGCGTCTACCTTCAAGCAACGTAATTCCTAGATTATATCCAAAATTGATTTTTTGGCCTAAATTCTCAGTCTTGCTTTTTTGCTTAAGCTAGCACTATTTTACAGGTCAAAATATTATTTGTCAGTCCCACTACACTCAGGCATCTTTGCGATACAGATATAATTAATCGTTATCCATATTATCACCTGAAAACTGTTGTAATCGGAACGGAAGCGATTGGCGAAGATACGATAAAGCGTGCCTACCGTTGCTTACCATCTGTTAAGCATTTCAGTGCAGGTAAGGTATTATTTCATGCCTAATCAAATTTCGATTTCTATTTCCATAATTTGCTTGGTTTTAAAACATGTGACACAATATTCTCTGACCATTAGATATCAGTTTCCAGTTAATTCAATTCAAGTTTTTTAGTTCTTCAGTCATTTCAGTTTACGAAATGACTGAAGCAGGAGTAATCTGCAGGACAACCAAACTTTCTCCTTTCATATCTCGCTCATGTGGAACACTCTGTGCTGGCTTAAGCATGATGGTCTTTTCTTTCTCACTTGCTTTGCTTTTCTTCAAAATTATATTTTTTTCTTTTTTGAGGGCTTTGCGTTTAATATGAAGTTTTTGAAATGAAGTATTATAATCGTCAAAGAGTAAACTTCCTAAAATAGGAAAATTTCACTTTCTACTCTTTTAAAGGATAAAAGAGAAAAACGTCTGTCTTATCAAACAATAGTAACAAGAAAACTTGTTAAGGTGATAGATATGGTAAGTGGAGCTGAAGTTGGCATGAATGAACAAGGCCTCATTCTGCTCCGAGGACAAACTGTGGTATCACCTTACTGGAAGAATGACAAAGCTACGTTTGAAGATTTTGAACGAAATGGTTGGAGAAATACTGGTATACATTTAATACCTTCCAATCAGAAATAATTAAATTTAACGGAAGTTAAAAAAATTACTATAAACAAAAGTAACGTATTTATAGATTGCTTATAAATCAATGTATCATAAGAGCAGTGTTTTTGTATCGAAAATCTTACAAAAACCTATGATTGTAACAGAATATTTGTAAAATAAGGTGATAAATTTTCATGCAAACTCTCGAAAATGTTTCAACATGCAGAATTGAATATTAAAAAAAAGAATTGGCTATCGAAAACAAGTATAAGAGTATGAGACGTAATTCAATGAATTTTGTAGGTGATATTGGGTTTTATGATAAACACGGTAATGTCTTTCTCGTTGATCGAGAGAAGCAAATGATTAAGGTTGATGGTTTTCAGGTATAGTTTTTAAAATTTTCGTACCAAATTTGGAAAAAAGTTTGAAAAGAATACTTTTTAAATACAATTCGGTTATCATTTTTTAGGATCGACTTATCCCAACCACTCTTTTAAGTTAACAAATCAAAGAGTAATAGTTGCATCCAAGCTTCTAATAGCCCCTTTCCTTCTAAGGTGAAGAATGGAAATAAGGCTTGGAGTTGGACTTAATTACTTTTACTGCTAATTACTGTTAATTAACTTTTACTAGAGGAGCTGACTTTTGCGTTCTTACGAACTACGAAATTAATGGAATTCTCAAAAATATTACGTACACCAAATGAATTTCACGTTTAGGTGACACCACAAGAGCTGGAATCTATCCTGTTGACTCATCCGTCCATTGCTGAAGCAGCCATTGTACCAGCGACAAAAGTAAATCAACAAGAAATACCGGTAGCTTTCGTGGTGCTGAAACCCCGTATGCCCGCTACTGCTGAACAGATTAAGGAGTTTGTTAATGGTATATTTGAACTTCTACTTGGAATGCATATACAATTTTTTTTTCAATTGAAGAAATCTATCTAATTCGAATTGATCTGCTTTGGTTTTTTACTTATAGATCGGTTTATTTTCATCACCAACCGATACCAGTTGGTGATTCAGCATTGAAAGAAGACCTAATGGTCAATTGTGTGAACTCAAACTTTCTTGTTAAGGTGATGAGAATAAACCGATCTGCAAGTAAATTGTATCATTAATTGAATGAAAAGTGCCATAAATATGAGGAGAGAGCAGATTAATTCTTGACAACCATTATAAATTTTGAATCTAATTATGTTTCGAATGCTTCGCAGGTAACGATCCTTTTAAAAACTAACATCATATTCCACTGTCACATTCTCATAGGAGTTATCAGTTTCATTTTCAGAACGTGTTATGCGTTATAAACAGGTGGATGTTGTCGTGATAGCGATGACACTACCTCGATCACCAGGTGGTAAAATACTTTGGCGATTGTTACGCGAGGCTGCTAACAGATACACATAAATTGTATTCGCAATCACAATCACTGAATTTATTTGAGTATTCTATTCTTCTACTTAATTTACAAGGTCTAAATAATGGATAAACCTATATTTTCTTCATTTGAAGCAGTGGTAGCGCTGTTGTCATTGCATTACATTTAAAAAAAATGTTTACTTTACTAGCTTATGAGGTTTTTATCAAATAGCGATAGTAATAAAGTAACGCAAATGAAAGCAAGAGCAAGAAAGAATGTCCATTCCAAGGCCTAGATATTATGGTTGCTGTGTTTCATTCTTATACATTTGTATATTTGTAGCTTATTTCATTACCATTCTATAAACTTCGGGATACAAATTTTAAGCTAGAAAATGAATGTTTTATCGTTAATTTAATTTATTTTACTGCTTAACAATCTGTACTTGGCTCGTTCTCAAAAGATGCAGTTGTTTATTTCAGTTCATTTCTGGTAAAATCTGCTTGTAAAAAGTTCCCTACTAAGTGAATTGTTCTGGATTTTTATATATAACATATTGTCACTTAGCATTGTTGTATTATTTCAACTAAGACTGATAATAAATTTTAGCAGTAAATGAAAGTGATTTCGAATCATATTATTCACTTCGCAACGTGTGGCTTACGCAGAATTACTGATGCAAAGGGTGGATTAAAATGTGTCATAACTGAACTTTACTTCGTTTCTAGTATCTGGCAATGCTTCATTGTTATCGATGTTTAGTGATGATAAATATAACAGTGATTACAATGTGGCTTGCACAGAATTATTTATGAAAAAGGTTAATTAAATGAGTGAGAGAAGTGGTGTCATTAGGATAAGATATATAATGATCTAAAAAGGAGAAGTTCAAATCGCCCTCATTTCTAAACCTTATCGGTAGGAAATATTTCTTCTTTAGGGATCAATCAGTTTATCCGCTCTCACATACACAAACTTGTTTTGTCGCTTTCGTCATCTATTACCTCCTTTCGCTTCAATTTTATTCTCCGCAATCCATCCCTTCTGCCTCTTTTCGTCATCCATCCTGATCGCAAATACCGATAAATCAAAACGTCACGTTTTCTGTCGATTAGTTTTGAAAGTTTTTAGGCTAAATTTGTTTTTCACTGAAAATGAGTGATAAAATCTCAGATCATTCAATAATGATCAATATAACAATTCGTTCGCAGAACTGGTACTCCTGTGACGTTGATTTCTATTCTTTTCTTATAAGATTTGTAACATTCGATGTATTTAGTGAGTGTATTTAGTGAGTGAATCATTTAAAGCACTTTGAAATTCCAGTGAAATTTCATTTAAGAATCCTACTATTTTCATTCTACCAAAAGTTTAAAACCAAAATTTTAGTAATGTCTTCCATTTATTGAATAAAATAAGTATAGATTGTTTCAAAAAAGATTATTATATCACGCAAACTTTTATTTGCAAGAACAATGACGAAAAGAGAGGTTATTGTAAATCTGTGATTGATAAAAAAGAACTGTTTCATATCTATTTGATCAATGAAGCAAAAGTATTTCAGTATTCCAGGCCAACTTCTTCAATTTCATTCACTGATGCATATCTTCAAGTAATCATTACGCTAACAATATTCAGAGAGTTGGAAGGCTGCTAAATGGAATGTTTTCCTATTTCCCTGCAAATTAATTTTTTATGCCTTGAATTTCTTGCAATACTGGATAATACTGTATTAAAATTGATGGAATTAACCAAACTATTTTAAACTCTCATTGATTTGCTCTTTTCTCTCCAGCTATTTATCCTTTCACAATTACTCCAATTCTATTTCTCTTTTCAAATATCTTTCTTGAATGAAAGTCTGTAGGTTCATGAATGAAAATATACAATTTCTTGTTCTAAAATTTGCAAAAATTCAAGAAGGACACTTAATAACGAGGTGGTACTTTAAATAGTTGTTAGCATTAACAAAGCGATAAATGATGGATATGCTGTTGTCGTGGTCATCAGAATAATTGCCATTCATTTATCTTCTCTTTCAACTGATTTAACATAATTTCCACTGGTACACTAGTATATTGTTCCCCTTTTTCTTCACATTTTGAAACACAAAGTATTTTATCGAATTGTTCTACCTGGATAGCTACTTTGATGATGTTTGCTCTGTGGGAATCTCAATTTCTCACCAATTATTAGTATTGCTTGATTCTCCCACCATCTCTTACCACATTAAATACATGGCTATTTCTTTGAATTAAAAGTTTTCAACATTTCTTGCGGTAATTCAAAGTTTTCAATATAAATCGCATATGTTTTTTTTTATTTGTACGAAATTAAATTTATGCAATTAAACACTAACTTACTGCTTCATTGATTTAATTTAATTTGTTACTGGAAGCAATTCCAAAAGTTTAACTAACTTTTTCCAGCAGTAAAACTAAATTAAAATAGTTTTAATGAAATGAGGTATAATCTAATATGTTAACTGCTGCACCATTTTTGATCGGAAGAGTGAAAAAGAGAACAAATCTGTAAGACCATTCCTCTCAAAGGGATGTTTTCTTCTTCCCCATGAGAAGATGAAGATAAAAATGAATTGATTAGGAAATGATCAATTATATTTCAACTTTGATACTTTGAGTCTAATTGGCAAACATTTTTGATCTTTCCGTCTTATGCTATGCAGGAACCAATTCAAGGAAATATAAAAAATTTAAGAAAAAAAAAGTCCAATGGAAAAACATTGATAGGCAGTTTAATTTTTTTTCCTTTTTCTATCTTTAGCACTAATTATTACTTTAAAATGCATGACAAGTATCATAACAATAGAATTTATTGCGTATCAAATTCCGCACCTTACTTCTCGAGTTTATTTTCTGCTTTCAGCAATCTGTCACTACTGGAAAGAGTTACGTTGTCGCAGAGATAATTCATTATTTCATTAATATTATCTATTGATATTATTTACAATTTATTTATAATTATTTAAAAAAATACCATCCAATATGTGCAATTTTCTAATTCTAAATTTAGGTTAGAAAGGTTAGGAAATATCGGTGAAATTAAGATACCTGATCCTGAAAAAGCATTCTGCAAATGTTTATTAGTCTTGACAAAAGAAAATAACAATTTTTCAGAAAAATTTTAGCCCACTTGCATTTTAAGACTGGAAAAGCAGATTGGCCAAAATATGTTTTGTTTTTGAAATTAATTGAAGCCATAAAACGAATATATGAAATAAGCGCTTTGAAGATGCAATGCTTACTTATTTCGGGGTTTTTCTTTCTTGGAATGCGTAAAATCTAATCTTATCCAAATTTAGGATTCTTAAATCCAAAAAAAAATTAAATGGTTTTCATATACAAATTGATGCACAATGCTTATAAAATTCACGAAAAGAATCTAGTACTAACTTCGGTTAAATATTTTTGGACAAGAGAAATGATCATATCAGTGTGAGAGTAGTAGCAAAATTGCTCAGCAACAAATGATCTCTTTGATTTTCAGTTGGAACAGTCACAAATTATTGCATCTTGGCGAAATTAAAAATTTGTAATTCAATTTTATGATTTACCATTTTGCACGCTATTTATTGATATCTTCTACAGTATATTCATGAATAATGTGATTTACTCTCTCCAACAATCATTTAAACTGCACAATCTCAACTCTTTAATTATTGATTCATTTGAATAAAAAAGTCGCGTGCTAAATAAAATTAAAAAACTGCTAATTTTTTAAAGAAATTTTTTTTGTTTGCAAAGGAGCTGATTCCATTAAAGGTTGGTTATATGATCTAAGAAAAAGAAAATGTTACCTTCCCATTTTTAAAATCTTACCCTATCCCTTTTTCATCATTATTCAATCTCATAAACTGAGCTTGTATATATACATCACTCTAATACATAGGTATTTCAAACACAACTGTTATACTGCTCATTTTCGAAGCTAATAATTAAATATACGAAGTTATCCTCAGCCAAGGATGTGTCGTCAAGTCGCCATCTTTGCTAATCAGTGATTTTATTCAAATATTCCTCAACTTCTTTAGATAAATCGATTCTTTCCTATAGACAAATGTTTGTGTTAAATGTTTGTTTTAAAAACAAGAGCGAACTGATAACGATGCATTTGGTGACGTTTTGAATGATTCGTTTATCAAAAAATTATCATCTTCCAGGTAATGAATTCAGATCACACACTTTTCACAATGTTCCTCCATGTAATTGGATTCGTTAAAGGAGAAACAAATCCGAGCAAATTTTATTCTACGTTTGGGAATGGCGTATATTATCATCAAAGTGATTTTTCTAAGCATAGCAGTTTTTTGTAAGTTTTGCAGTAAACATAATTAGCGGTGATTCTGAATTCTTCGTGACTATAAACATTTCAAAACCATTATTAGCTCAACAATTTTATGGTTGCTTCTTTAATCCGAAGTTAAAAGCATAGTACATTATTGGTTTTCCTGAAACTTCGGAGACATACACCTTAAAATCGGAATTAGAAAGAACGGTTATCTATGACTTCCTTAATCTCTCATTCTTAATCAATACCGAAAATTTTAAGGTGGTTTCACTCTAGGATGAAACTAGCATTTTATATTTCATTTATCATATGCTGTAGGAGCATTGGTTCTGTTATAGAAAACTACGCGATTATCTACAATCAACCGGCGTTTTACGGAATGATTCATTGAGGATTATCTTAAATCCTGGCAATATTCCTGTTGGTCATTATGATCTTAAGTATCAATTACATACTTATAAAGACGTCACTGAGTCACCCAAAACGGGAAAGTTATGCCATTTAAAAGTCTTCGAAATTGAGGTGAAAACGTTTTTGTTCTCGTTATGTTATGCTTAAAGTTGAACTTATTTTCATGCATCTTACGCTTAATATTTTACACATAGTAAAATACATGTGCTGAGAAAAGAAAGTATAAAAAATTAAGAATGCAAGTGAAATGGAATAAAAGGAGAAGCATTATGAACCAATATTCATGCTAATGATATTACAGTAGTTGGCGTTAAAGATAATTACTGAAGAAGATACTGTTAGCGTTGTCGTAAACGTGAACGAAATGATGTGAAAGCTTATTAGTTATTTCTCTAGACATGATAATTATGGATAAATGATCAGTGTCAGTCTAAAATCTAGGCAAGCTTGAGAAGAAAACAAACTAGAATGCCTTGGAAAAGTAATGAAAATTTTCATAAATTAGCAAATAAGCGATATATTCAAGGCTCAAGTTTTTTCAAGTCTCTTAATTGGTATTGATTTTTGGCAATAACTTAAGATAAATGGTTGCTTGTAGCAATCAAAAAAAGTTAATTTTTCAAAAAACTACCCAAACATCATAGTTTCTCCCAAAAACGATATTCCACATGAAGAAATTGACAGGAATTGTCGTCTATTTAGAAAAGCAAGTCACGAAAATATGAGATTGTTGTTGCTATTATTATATAATATTAAGCAAATTCATCTTTAGGTCCGATGAATCAATTCTAACCAATGTTAATCATAAATAATCAGAGGTCGACGTTCCTGAGATGATACTAACCGGCAACTAAAAGTTAGAGAGCACTCGAATTAAGTAACGAAATGAGTAGTATGTGTAATTCTTAGAATATTTTGATGAATAAATCGTTTTACAGGAATTGAGCAACACTTTTATCGAAAATTCAGAAGAACCAGTGAATCATATAACCTGGATATGTCCATCAAATGGGTGGTGCTGTGGTGCGGAATGTTGCCAGTATTACTACAAGTAAATTTCCCAGATTTGCTCATAAGCTTTTCCTTTTGTTTCGAGCAAATTCTAGAAAAACAATCATAGTGGAATGATGCGAAATCTGGAACAACTCGAGAATTTGAAGTGTTTCTTATCTTCCACAATGCCTTTCTGTTCTTGGAAACATAGAGTTTCTATCGGTAAAACGATCATACTCTGAATTGCCACTTGGACCATTAGAATGGATTTTATATTTCAAATGTCGTTTTCGGATTTCTGATTTGAAGTTTAGGGCTTTCCTTAGTTTCTGCTTCATAAGTTTGAGTTCTGAGCAGAAATATGGTAGTATGAAACAATACACACAATTTACAGAGATCCATGGCCACTACTAGGGCCAGACTTTTATGAACTGATTGCTGCAGTAGCTGTTTTTGCTGGTTTATTGGTTATTCCTGAACTGTATCGCCGATGGCGACAACGCAAGATGGACAACTTGACAATTCCCGCAGGAACTTCTGGATACATCATGGAGAATCCAGAAAATGCGAAATTCATAGTGTAGCATGCCTGTAATGTAGCGCAGACTGCAGTATTTCAAGATAACAGGGAATCTGTAGATGGTCGCTAGACAGCTATCCTAATTTTATCGCCCGGGAAGGTAAAATATTTCTATAAACTTTTGCTGTTGCAGAGAATCTCGGGAAGAACTCTTAATCAGAAATTTAAATAAACCAGAATTTTTTTTAAATAAACCAGGAAGAATTCTTAATCAAAAATTTAAATAAGGCAGAATTTATTCGTCACTCAGATGTGATCATGTAAAAAGGGAATGTTCAACGAATCTTGTTCTGCTAACCCGCTGGGGTTAATATTTGTGATCTCATTGGTTCAAGTAGGAGTCTCAGGATGTCGCTGGCTCAATCCTTAACATGAGGTGTGGCGAGGCAACATTTTTGAAACACAGGATTGGGGCTTTTGCAGATGGGAAATGAGCAGGTGAGAAGTGATATCCTGACTCTTTCATCATAAGAGCGCCGAATTGTAAGGTCGGTACATCCATCGCAAATATATAAGGAGGGAAATAGAATGATTTTTGGAAAAAGATTTAAAGAGATGGAGGGAAAAAATAATGTTGCCAGATGAGGAGGGAATGAAACAATCTGCAAATAATGAAATGTATAATGGAAGGAAGGAGAGGAGTGACACGACTAGAGAAAGAAGGAGAAGTTTGGGTCAGGTGAATGTTGCATGCTTATTAAGGGTGCGGGTAAGTGAACTTAGTAATGTACTGGTTATTAGCGAGATTTATCATGCTTCAAACTTTAAGCATAGTTGTGGATGGCTAACACATAAAGGAGGAGGTTTAGTACAGTCCACATCCTCGTAAATTGGCCTGAATGACCATGTCGATAACACTATCCAGAATTATTTGCACTTGGTTCGTATCTGTCGCACATGTTTGATGAGTGTAAATCGTTTTTTCTGGATTTGCATTTAGAGCTTCAAATTTTTCTTCAATAAATCGTACCGAGTCATCATAGGTTTGTGGACCTATAAACAACACGATTTGTAATGATTTTCGATTTGTGGTACTTTCGGAATTCTCCATATTTCATTTCTCTTTTAGTTAAAGTTTGCTTAGCCAAATTACACATTAAGTGAAATCAAAAATTAATAGTTGTAGTCATACGATGATTGAATAATGAAATCATTTGAAAAAGATTTCCTTAATTGCTTGCAAATGGGTTGGCAATTAACTTGTTTTTGAAATTGGTAAGCTGTTGGAATGCTGTAAAAAAACAAAAAGTTCGATTATGTTTTTGAAATTTAACTTGAATATTAAGTGACTTAAACAAACCGTTATATTCGGGAAAAGCAACTTTGATCGAAACCCGTTTAATTTTCTCAGCAAATAAATCTTTTTTGTTCAGGAATAAAATTATTGATGTATTGATAAACCACCGACTGTTACATATCGATTCAAATAATCGTAAACACTCGACCATACGATTCTGTGTGTAGAAAAAAAAAAGAAAGTTGATGATGTTGATTTCAGAAAAGATTGGAGAGAGAGAACTTTTGATCAGTTATCAAACTACCAACACATGCTGTTGTGCTCTGCCCTTCTCATTGATCCCAGTAATTTAGTTTAAAAAAAAAAAAGAAAGAAAACAAAAACTGGTTTTTTGAACGCTCACATTTTTCTCTTGTTACCACTTTAATTCATTAATGTCTGCAGAAAAACAAAATTTCTTCACAATATAAACAGAGACTAAATTACAAATAGACAATTTAGACATCGAAAAGCATGCCAAGCATAATTATCTTAGAGCATTTATGCTGGAATATCGCTGATATTATGGTCCATAAATACTCCTAAGCTAGCATTGTTTCATCATCAAGTGATATAAAGTGATAAATTAATGCTTTAATGATGTTCAGTGTAAGATATCTGAGAAGAGAGCATACGCGCAAAGTGACAAAGTAGCAATAATTGAAAGATAACTAATTTAAACAGGATTCGGCAGGAAAACGTGTTGAAGAATTGCAGTAAAATAGGAAAGGAAATTTTACAGTTTTCAAGTTTATCATCTGTATCAGAAGCAAGATATCATACATCCCTGCTATATTATCAAGATAGGATTCTGACTAGATACGAAATGATCTTGAGAAGTTCTTCGGCCGTACGATGGAATAACTTGATGCATATTTAATCAAAGGAATATTAATAATAAAAGTTCTCCGATAATGGTCGTATATGTAGTTATTGAGGAGCGTTTATTGTTCCAAAATGTTCAACCATTCAAAATATAAATCAAAAACTATTTGGGATTAGATATATTTGATTGTTTTATTATGGAATGAAATTTCAGATTCAATTTGTGACAGACAAGCGAAATATGTCTGATTTCCTCCCATCTCAACATTTTGAGATACATTTTTTTTTCTCTGAAAATATGAAGAGAAAAGAAAATAGAGTCGATTTTCACTTGTGACCATAGCCCACTCGTAAATTCTATCTCAATGAGTATCGTGTTATCAATCACTCTACTACATAATTGTTTCGAAGTTTTAATAACCAGGGAATAATTAAATTAAATCACTAGTTTTGTGGTTCATGCAAGAAGTTTGACTTGTAGTATTTGATTTATAACTTCGATTCCTTTCAAAGTTACAGATAAAATATTGCTTCATTGGGGCGATTATAAGTTGATTCTAGGAGTAAAATTCTTGCTAGTCTCTTTTTTTATACCACTTGGATCTTTTTTGTTGAACTTTAAGATTCGAGAAAACAAACTGGAAAACATTGAAGAAGCTTTTAGCAAGCTGTATATTCTTTCTACCTATAATTATTTCATTTATTGTAATAAGTGAATAGATTGATGCAAGCGGGTCGTCCTGGCATTACAAAGGTGTGATATCATTCGTTTAGAAGAGAATAATTATAATAACTCATGATATATTTGCTTTGCTATACTTTTGCAATACATTCTTCCCCATATACTCCTATTTTATCTAATTATTAGCATGTTAGTAATTGATTAAATTATTTTGCTTGTATTGTAATTAAATTTTAGTTTTACCCAGTATTTTTTTTTGTTGATGAGAAAAAAATGCTTTGATACATTTGCCCGAAAAAATGACACTTTGAAACATTAGCCCAAAAAAAAAGTTCGGATTTTACACGTATCACAAGAATGGAGAAATTTGCATTGTTACAGGATGTCCAGTGAATTAATGCACAGCGGGAAAAACATGGGAACTTTTAAGAGAGATTAAAAAAAGAATTACCGTAGTTTCGTCCTCAAAAAGCACTTGATCATATTGACTAATTGCTGCAATGAATATAATTGCATTGACATCTTCAAAGCAATGAATCCATTTCTTACGCTCCGAACGCTGTCCACCAACATCAAAAATTCTGAAAGTTTCCCCAACAAATCAGAAAAAAAGTTTTGAAGAGATAAAAATAAATGAAGATTCAGAGTAACTTTTTCTTCTGATCCAAATTTCAAAGGCAAGTTTATCTAATTTCCTGGATTTCAAGTATTATTTATGATTAAAAATCTGTGTTTTTCTAGCAACAGTAAGCAACAAAAAAAAGTTAAAAAAGCAAATCTCAAATCAAGGAGACGTCACATATTCCAGTTGTCGTTTTCGGAACTTTTCGTAACATAGATTATGTGACATTTCTTTGGTCTGATAACAGTAAGTAATGAAAAAGAAGAAATTCAAATATGCTCTTCATATCTTTAATCATAGCAACATTAAGATAGTACTTGTTTTTATTTCTCTTTGTAACAAATATGCTACCAAAAAGAAAAGCTACTATGCAAATGAATGAAAATTAAATGAAGCATACCACTGACTTGAAAACATTTGAAAATCAAATTCATAAAAGAAAGTTAATTATTCCTAAACAAAAAAATCTTGAAAAAATACCGGAAATCAACATTTTTCATTTTGAATTTCACTTCCACAATTCCTGTTGTTTTAATTCGACTGAGCAAAATATCTTGTTCGGTAGGCTTATAGCCCGGAAATGAAACCCGATCCACGGAATCCAAAAAACTGCAAAACCACCATCTTCGAAAGCGTTTTCTACCGAATCATTTCCCGTTAAAATAGAAAAATTTGTTATTGTACTCCATAAACAGATTTTCAATTTTATTAGCACCAGATTTTATTAGCCTTTAAAATACCAAATGATGCTTAGATTTTTCCACGATTCTTGAAATCCCAAGCCTATCTAAATATGTTCTATCACCGTTGATACTGCAATCACTGAATACTTTGGTGATAAACATATACGCGTCATAAACAACAGAATGATTCGGTAAAAAGGGTTATTTAGTTCTCAGATTCCATGAAAATATTCTAGCGTACGACAATGTCGTTAATGCGACTTTTGATTAATTTATTTTGTCTCAAACGTTCATTGATTTTTGATTTTCGTCCAAATAGACCTGAGGAAAAACCTATTTATTTATATGCACTTGAAGAAAAGCTTATTTAGTTCAAATATACTTGAAGAAAAGTCTATTACAATTGAAGAAAATTATGGTGTGTATTAGATATAGAATATTTACTAAGCGGTAGATTCAGCCATCTGAAACTCGTTTCCACGTTCGTATGCATCCTTACAAACTCCTTTATCAGCCCATAAGTTTTTCAGTGCAGCAGTTAACGCAGGTGTTAAAGGTTCTGATTCGTTACCTGATTTGACAATATCCATTATAATGCGAGCATCAGCCTACAAAATCTTTTGAGAAATTGCATCAAGAATAATGAAAAAATATGCCAATCGCTTTTTATTTCTCAGCTGATAAAGACTGCTTTATGGAAGTTTTAAATATAGTTCACAAAAACATCCAATCTATTGAAGGCTTTGTCGTTGGGAATTTGCTTTTGTAAAAGAAATAGTTTTAATGAAATGAAATTTGTCAGGAAATTTTTAGTTACAAACGTACATCTCGTTCAGAATTCTCAAATGGAATATTAAGCTTTTTCATGCCTCTTAGAATAGAAGCCATTCCTTGCACTATATTATTGTAAATGACTTTTTTCTGCTGATTTATTTCCTCCTCAGTGAATCCATGAGTGTGTAGTAACCTGAATAATATAATTTCATTTAAAAAGGGTATGCCAATTTATGGAAATTTTGAATTGCCATACCTGTTTGAGTATGGGAACAATTTTGAACTTTTCTTCCAATTTAAGGCCAATTAAATTGCTTGCACAAGAAAACATACCTTTACATGAAAATTTTATTATGTACTTTTTGTATTTTCGCCATTCATTATTTGCTAGAACTATAATTAAAAACCCAGATTACCTCATTTGTTTAAGAATTGTACTTTTGCCGCATTCACCAGGTCCTGAAAGCTGTTTTAATTATTGACTGCAAGGAATCGTGAAACTTGAAAATGTATGGATATTTTGAATGAATATTTTGATGACCCATTCCTTGACTTATACGAAATTCGGTATTATTATAATTGACTGTAATTGGACCTTTTGTGTGATATAGTACGGCTTGTTTTAAAATTTCACATTCAACAAAATGTCTCTGATCAATGAGATCGTTAGTGATAGACGACCAACAAATGAATCACCATTTAAAAGAAAAGATCTTTAATTACAACAACCAACCTAGAAGAAGTAATTTAACAATATTCTGCTGAGCACTACGACCTTGAATCATCTCACGATCAATTGCTTTGCTCTTTGCTACCAACGTTTTTTCTTCTTGGCTTTGGCATATTCCCATTTTTTATGAGAGGAAGGGAAATAGATGTCGTACAACTAATTAGCAAACAGTAACAGTTGATTTGGCTCGATTTCACGTTGAAAGTGCGCAATAAGATTCTGCTGCATATATGGCGTGTCGACGACTGGATGATCGAACATACATACATTCATTTCATTGTTTGAAAAAATTAATTGAAAAAATAACGCATTTCTTGTTGAATTTATTCAAGAAGTTCTGGTGAATCTTCAATAACTTTTGTTTTTGACGTCGTATGATTCATTTGAAATCAGAAAGAATTCGATGATTTGATCAAATTGCAACTCAAATTATGAGCAAAAATGTTGCTTGAATCTAAAGTTTGAAATGAATTCAGTTCACTTCATTTTTCCTTCTCTCGTCGTTTTCTACGTACGAAATAGTGTTCTAACTGATAGAAATACAATATGAAATAATTGGACGAGTGAGTGAGTGTATTTGTCAAGAAAGAAATTTGGTCTTATTTTTCTTATCATCACTACAGGATATCTTAGCTTTACATTTAAATACAATGAGTTTTTTTTTCAATGAAAATTATATTAATTGTTTACTATATTGATAAAGTAAAAGATGAGTAATATAAATTAAAGAATTCAAAATTTCTTCCAAGACAAGATGTATTTCTGATCGATGCCAAGTTATCATTGACATCAAATATCAACTTGACTTCAAAATAGTTAAGTATGATTCATTTCGTATACTGTTCATCAATTTCTCAAAATTTTGTCATAATTTGATCAAACAAGTATGGGAAAATGGACTGGTTCAGATACTGAAGAAATTATTTCCATATAAATATCCCTTCCCACAAATTCTTTAAGGATGCTTAACTTTCAACTCAAAATTCAACTGTAATCCAAATAAAAGTATTATATTCACACATACGATTGTCATCCAAAAAATACAAACTGCAACTTATTTCTTTCAAATACATACTAAATTTTATTTTCAGGTATGGAGGGAAAACAATAATGCTACTGAAAGTTAATTCGAAAGTAGGAATTAATTTTGGGATTAAAAAATCCGAATGGGAAGGGAAAACTTTTGATAAAAAGAAATTATTTGCGACCAATACATTTTGCAACATTGCTTAAAACTGCTTCTCAAACTCGATGATTGTCATTATTGAAATCCAGTTTTACTTAGCATATGTTGTATCATTTTCACCTAGCGAGGAAGCATAAAGGATTAATTAAGAGAGACAAAAACAGCCTGCTTATTCCACTCATGAATGTCACTCACTCATTATTACTATCCAGTCGCACAAGCTTATTCCACTCATGAATGTCACTCACTCATTATTACTATCCAATCGCACAAGTATCTTTTATACATTTTACACTAACTCGATGATATTTACTCAATAAAGCTTTTGTTTTGGCGCATTGTTTTCTCATTTAAAATATATTACAAATAAAACTTTCAAATTTTTTCAAAAAACTTTCAATTTCTCAAAAATCAATGCTAATTTCCGAGAAACTTTTTAAAAAATATAAGAATGAAGGAAAATGAATAAGTGTTGAATAATACAATAACCCAGCTTATTGAAGCATATGCGTCGGATTACCTTTCCATGATGAGATGCTTGAAGAGAAAACAGCAACTTATATATCCATCTTAATCTGTCACTCTGTCTTGTTTCACTGATGTTAAAGCGGATTTTAGAGGCACTGATACCCATAAACCAAATAAAAGCATTTGTTCTCCGTTTTCATCACCGTGACAACCTAAACGCACCTGTTAGGCACTATTAACAGGTATGCTAAGAGTATTATTATTACTATTACCACCATTAGCACTGTTAATACTATTATTACAGTTATATACATATATATTTTAGAATTTTTTTTTTATTCTTCCAGATGGTTCAGTGATTGTTACAAGAGCTCTGATCTGAATACAAAAAAACCCTGATCTGATTTCAATAATACAGGAATGACGTTTCAAAGCCATGCTTTCTAAATATAGATAGTGATAATTCCAAGGTTCGTAATGTTTCAGATCTGGTCTTGTTCAGATTTTCTCCAGAACTTTGACAGACAAATCAAGTAGTCAGGTGGACAAGACAAATCAGGTAGTCAAATAGACAAGACAAATCAGATAGTCAGGTAGACAAGACAAATCAAGTAGTAAGGTAGACAAGTCCACCCACGTCACACAACGCTATTCTTTCCAATAAAATATCATGAAAAACGAATACTAAACCCTTCACTGACAAAAATATAATTTTTCGGCTCAAATTCGAAAATCACCTCTCCAAGTTGCGTACGAACATGGTTCTCACAAACAATAATCGATATCTGCTAAGCATAAAATTGATTCAAAAGAATTCAATTGCATACTCCAAAATTTCGCCAAATTCTTGCAAACCGAAATGTCTGCAAAGGTTGATCCTTATGAAACTTCGTTCAGAAAATATGGAAGCTGCAACGAATCATTCGACCAGAAATTCCGTATCCTCAGAATTGTTACAGCCTAACTTGAAAAGTAATGACAAATTTATTGCTAAAAGCACATCCCTCATTTTCATCGACTTGAAGGAACACAACACGTGCTGGTTATTCACGCGTATTGGGAGCTTCTGTTTGCTGCCTGCATATTTGTTTTACTTTGTACTAACGGCACTGGATGATCTTCGCTTTCAGGTCTTCCCTAATAAGGTGACGTTAACACGGTTAGCTTCTTTTTTAATCCCTTCAATATCTACAACCGCGACAAATCTTGCTTTTCCCGAGATAACTTTTCAGTTTCTGCCCTCCAACGCAGTGTTGACGAGTACAGCGAAAATCAATATGAAAATAGTAGTAAAAAAATTGATTAAATCAGCTGGATGAATAAAAAGTAATGATCTGACATATCATGCTTACGTATGTTGAATTACACAGATTTCTTTAATCAGGAAATCCTAAAATAACTTCACAGTCTTATATCAATCACCAGCGCAGCCGTAATGCTGTCGAGTCAAATAGAAACAACAGACGAAGTACTTCCAGCTGATTTGCTCACGATCTCTTTTTAATCTTTCCAAATATGAATTCTTTTTCAGAACTGAGGGATAAGTGAACATTGTTATGCTATTTATTTCACATAAAACGATATCCATTACTTAATGAAACGACGTAATGAAAAAAAAGTTGAATTAAATTTTAAAATAAAGTCATTCATCGACTCTATCACAACCATCAACATCAGAAACAGCGTCTTTCAGAAATGAAGGGGCTTGTTGATCACCTGAATGCCGTTGCACGATTACTTCCTGAGGATTCTCATTACCAGCAATTACTGAAGAGGATGCCTCAGGGAGTAACTTTTCCATTGCAGGTGCAACGTCCATGCTTTCTCTTCTCAGTGGACTAGTCTAGAATACAAGAAAATTGAATCAATCTGGAATTTCTGGAATGACTAGAAAAATTACTATAACGCCCAAATCGAATATCAAATCGAATATCACCGACAAGATCAACATAAATTCCAAATAAAGTGCTACTAGATTTATTCAATCTTAGTGTAACAACCTTGGGTACTTCATCTGAACTATCTGCTTCCGCAGCTTGTGATGAATTGATCGGACTGAAGGTAACGCGGGCAGAACCAAAAATACGTGACATCAAACTTCTAGTAGGTCCTAAAACACTTGTTTAAAAACAAAATCTAATTTCAAATTGCCAGTAGAACTTATAATTGTCTCAAAAAGACTAATAATGACTATAATGTAGGTCAAAAAAATATAAGATGCTGAAATAAAAGAATCTTGTATGTTTATCAACCACCTTTTAAATCGCCTAGAAACAAAAAACTCTAAAAAGCTAGATGTGATTATTCCAAATAACCACAATAACTGTGAAACAAACCAACAAACCAATAGATCACACTTTACTTATTCGGTTTTAATAATTTTTTCTCATGCAAAAAAAAAGTATTGCAATAAAAGCATGGCAAAGCAAACCTGGTAGTTGACTTGTTGAGCAGCTTGCTGTACTATCGCTTGTGTTACCTAAAACTCCGATGTTTGTTAAAAAATTATCTCTGGCATTATCTCAAAGAATACGCAGATTTTTTTCAGAACCAAAGAATTTATTGAAATAATGCATCCGAATTCATTCTTCTCGCTGATAAAGTAAGATATGCAAAAGTTCACGTTCAAACGGATTATCAACATCTGATATAACATGCGTAATGTACTCAAACATAGAAAAAAGCATATGTATCTGCTGACCGGCACATATTTTACGTTCCGACAATTCATCGGTTGCGGAAGATGCCTGTAGAGGACGGCGTCTATTACGTGCACCATTTTCCGATTGTCCAACTATTATTTGAGCTTGATGAAGTGCGGCCCGTAGTAAGATATCCAAAATGTTACGATGCATAGCATCACTAACTTCTATAAGCCTTAAAAATGATCAAATCGGAATTGTTCAACTCGAAGTACATATCCAAACACAGAAAAGTGAGTAAATTTCACCTTCTTGAAATTATTTGCAGAGGTTTCAAAAAATGTAAAGTTCAAATATTTTTGCTAACTAAAAACATACTCATTGTAAGTAGTCGTAACTTGGTTTTCGATTTTCGCGTACAACTTTTTACAAGATGAGTCGATTCTAGCAGATATTTCGTTTTTCGCAATTAATTTAACAAGCTCATTTTCCAGCTGCAGTATTGGACTGAACTTTTTTAGAAATTACATTAATGTCTTTCCAAAGTAATTTTTCGTATTATTTCCTCTCAATAGCTGATAACAACAACAGTTCAAAAAAAGCCGGAAACATGATTCACAACAAATAAGTTCTATGGATTTGCGAAAGAAGCGTGATGAATGAAGCATAACAAGACAAAAAACTTCATGTTTCTTGCTTTAACAAGCTCATTTTCCAGCTGTAATATTTGACTAAACTTTTTCTAAAAATTACAATAACTTTTTTGATTTTATAGCAGTCATTTTCAAGAAAGTTATTTCTCCCAAAATAAAGTTATTTTTTCCCAAAAAAAATAAGGAAGCTATTCTTCCCAAAATAACTTTTTTGAAAATAATTGCTATAAAATCAAAAAAGATCAGGCGAAAAAGTAAGAAAGACTCGCCAACATGACCACAAAATATAATAGTTATTTTTTTTAGTCGTAACAATTTCCTTTTTCTTTAACAGAACCATATGCAATATCCGACTGAAAAACAACTAAAATCATTACCTCGCTAACATGAACACGAAAAATAATAGCCATTTTATCCATATTAGCAGCTTTATACGGTGTGAAATACTGTACAATGGCTCGTCGCCGAATTAAATAATAGAGTTCCTTTACATGTGACCAAAGATGCATATTTAAAAGAAGTTGATCACGAATCTGAAAAAAGCTCTTTGAAAGACAAATACGTCGAGCAATTCACTAGGATATGCAGATATTTACCGTGGAATATTCTTTTGTCGTGAACGTATGTCGAACAGCTCCTAAGAGTACGACGATTACAAAATCGTATAAAGGGAAAAATAAACCCATTTAAACACTATTCAATTTTCAGTGAACATTGGAATCGAATGGTGAACAAACAGTTTAGTATGGATCCACTCAGTTCGCTGTGTTCGCTATTTGAAAAAATCTTTCGTCGTGGATGTTTAACAGTTAAGGTGAAAAAAATTTTTTTCTTTAATGCTTCGCAAAGATCAAGGAACAGGATAGCTTTCTGTTTGCTAGCTAACCATCCATAGATTACTTCCATAATGTGATTGGAAATCATGCTAAGAAAATATACACTAAACTCGCCTGCCTTGGCCTATTTCCAGTCTCCGTTTCTAGTCCGTCACTTCTACTACTTCCATTACTGCAGAAAGAAGCCCATTTAATGTTCAACAAACAAAAAAAACGGAAGATAACGTAAAAAGTTGAGAGGAAATTAATAAAGAACATACCTCTTCCAAAATATCAAAACAAATTCCAAATTGACTTTTTACAAATTTTTCCAGTAATTCAATAAGTTTTGGCTCCGCTTCGAGGAATTTCCGGAATATTAAGCTTCCTAAGACTTTTTCTTTCAATTCTGATCGGCTAAAAGTTGCTAATGCACAAATAGTACCGAACATAACAACATCTTTAGCGGCCAACAAAGCTGGATAATCAAAATAATCAAATTCAATCTGAAAGAATAATTCTTAAATAGTTCGCTATTGAATACAGAACTAATCTAAGTACAGACTACTTCTAAGCAAGAGAAACTGCTAAGTAATTCTGATACAGTTTTTTCCTTGAAGAAGATATATTCTGATAAAAGACAATGAAATCATGTTTTGTTATGTTATTACTTCAGAATTACATCCTTAACTTACAATTACTGATATCTGGATAATTTATACTCTACTGAAACATCATTTAAACTTTAACGGTATATACCTTCAAACATTTCTCGGCCACTAGTCTGTAATTTCTCATGTTAAGGTAATTTAAAGCAGCAACTGCTCCAACTTTAGCTTTTGCAGTATCAATTATTTCTTTCATATTCCTAGTGGCTGCATAAGTTGAATTTGCTGCCAAACGACCAGGCCGACTCGTTGATGTTGCCGCCACATTTTCCACTTCCATTGCTTCAACTGCAAAAATAACTAAGTGGATTAACTAATTTTCTGAAAATTTTTGAATAACTCTTAAAAAGATATTTGTATTGGATGATTTCATTTTATTCTATAAACTATATAAAAAAACAAAAGCACAAGACGATTCAACAGTAATAAACAAAAGTTTTGCTCATGTTATTAACAAATTGGTCCCAGAACTAAGGTAGTTTTCCCAGCACAAAACTAAGAGAATTTCAACTGAACGAATGCGCATCAATTTAAGCAGAAAACTCAATTTTCAAGTTCTAGAAATGCATGGAAATCATGCTTAAAACTGAATGCGAAACACGTACAGATTAGAAACAATAAACCTGGCTAATCAGACTGATGGTTATGATTTTGGAGTTTTCTAGTTCTCATCTTTTAAAATCATCTCACAAACATAAACATATATGCATGTAGATATAACTATGTCGAAATCATTTGAGCATGTTTAAAAAAAAAAATCAATATTTCCAATACATACTCAGAGCTCTTTCAACCTGCGTAAGGAGAGGCTCCACACGATGCCAGTGATTAAGATATATCGTCACTTCTATCCAACTCATCAGCATCTGTAACGGAAGAGAAGTATCGAAGAAATTTAAACTAAGAAACCCATAAAAATTGGTTGAGACAGTTTTATTAAATTGATTCACTCATTGGTCAGTTTTTTAAACACAGTGCCTAGAAGATTTTTTCATGCTTGAAGTTTAGAATAAATCTAATACTAATCAAGAAAATGAAAGCCATAACTACTTCTGGAACAAAGGGATAACAACGGAATAACGCAGTGAAAGAAAAGGAATGATTCTACGACTACCGGGAATGTGCTCTTAATGAACGATTATCACCAGCACCGTAAGAAAATGTGCAGCACTGAACAATTACACATACCCAACAGACTGAGAGTTTTGTCAGAACGAAAATTCAGAAAAACCTCAATGATATGTTTTGGTGAAGTGCAATATTCTCGTATCCCACGACCATATAGCTTAGCAGCTTCTTGCAGTTGCCCCATGGCGATCTGCTGCTCAAAAAGATCACGCATAGTGCGCCTCGTAGACTCCTATATTTAATTTTTTGTGAGAAACATTAATTTTCAAATAAATTCAAATTATAAACTGAGTAGGTACAACAAGCTAAAATAAAATATCAACCTTCCTTAAATCTTGACTTTTACTGGAGTAAGAAAATTTCAGATCAATGTACCTTAACACCTTCCTCCTTCTGCCTTTTGAATTCAACTGCAAGCATGTCCAAACGAGCCTGTGATTTTGCTGTAGTTGCATCCATCCACTGTGAATTCACGCGGGGTAAATCATCAACAGTATTCATATCTGTGGAAACACTAACTGAGTGTAATTCAAGGGGTGCTGTACGCAATGCATTTAAACGATGATGAGCTGCTAGATACACTTGTACATTTGAAGTATGCTGCAAATTAAAATAATAGACCTCCCGTAATTTCAATTTTTCATATTAATATAACAACCATCTCTATTCATTAATTATTCATGGAACAGTTCTATATCTTATAGCCCCATTTTCTCTTGCAAATGGGCAGATTAGATTAACAAAGATGAAATTTAAGTGAAAGTAATAGTTACCTCAACAGTATAGTTGATAAGCATAACTAATGAATCTTTTTGCAATGGAGGACAAGTGTCGGCTATGAACAACAAACGATTAATCAATGCATAACCTAAAATATATTATTGTTGAATAATTTCTCGAATATAAATTCAAATAACATTTTGAAGGCTGTCGCTACTACAACATATATACTCCTACCACAGTCTATAGCCATCCAAAGTAAAAACGCTGACAGATGTGCAATCTTACTGCAATATGTGCAATACAAGAAGAAGGTTTAAGGAAAAATAATATTTCATGATAACCAATACTATTAAATTAGCTGACAAAAATGTGACTTCAAAAGTCATACAAGCTTTGCGTTTGCAAGGCCTTAATACATAAGGACAAATCTATTAATAGAACTTTGTAAGATGATCAGTGACTTCAGTGAGGATAGTACGTAGAATATTAAAAAAAAAATGTTGGGCCAGGCTACTCAAATATGCAGATATGCAGGCCTTTTTTTGCTTTATTTCCATAACAACAGAAGGGCTTTCAAAAATTTACCACTCTTTTGATAAAATAAGGTTGGTGTGATTCACTGAAATTACCTGTATAACTAGTTCGAACTGCTTCCAAATCAAACGGTATGGAATTAACAACGTTCTGAGCGAGAGTCGGTACAAAAGGAATTTTCTGGAGAGCGCTACCTGAAATGTATTAAAATAAGTGCCTAACTTTTTGATAATAAAACAGTTGGGTGATAGTAAGTGGTAGCAAGTTTAAACTCACCATTTTCTCCAGGAAGTACGGGTGAAACTGTGGGTTGACCAACAAATTCATCATCAACTTCATTTGCATTGTTCAGATCGAAATCGGTATCGTCTATGGGTTCTTCTACATGGGCATCCATCGCCTCGTCCGGATCTGGCACCGACATTCTTTCCACCTTCTGCTTCTAACAAATTTATTCCCTGAATAAAGAAGAACTACCTGAAAGTTCAAAGACTATTTTAACAAATGTATCGACAGGAAGAAAAACGCTATAATACAAGCAAGACGAACAAAAATTCACTCGATCCTCTTAAAATTTCAGCTGAACGATAACATTAAGAGGTGGACTGATGTTGAATACGGGACTGATTGAAATTATAAATATTTTGTACTCTTTCTTATTCGTGTTGCTTTCAGTAAGGAGTTAAAAACATGTGATGTCGTATGAATTTCGAACAAGTGACATTGGCATTTCTGGATAGTAGTTCGATATTGCTCACAATGAGGTCAGGTGCAGCACATCCAAGCAAAGATCAAAAGTCACAGCGACCCATAAAGAGCCTGAATTCTTCCGCTACTGCATTGGAATTGACTAGACCATCTCATCAAAACCAAATCATCGTGTATCCCCAGTGGTATATGTTTGGAGTGCTCTGAATGAAACGCCGTATTATCGAGTTACGATATTTCTACAGCGGTTCCTTAAGTCTTCCGAGAACTTTGGATAAGAAGGGAGTTGAGTGGAGGGTGGGAATGTATTACATAAAGAGAGAATGGGAATAACCATGAAGAGATGAGAAAATGATGAAAGGGTTAGGATGAAAGCGGAAAAGGAAATACTGTTAGATATTGAGGAATGGAGGAAAAGGTGGATGAAAGTGAGAGAAGATAGTGTGATAAAAGAAATAAAATTAAGGTGGTGCTGCATTGAGGAGGGCAATTATTTAGCTGGCAATGGCGAGATCTGATGGCGGCAAAGGCTTTTAATCTTCATTTTCTCATCGAGGATTGTTCCACTTTTTTGAAAATCAAAAGTGAAATTTCTGGTTCAAAGAAAAGAGAATAGTACGAATCAACTGAATTGTTATCAACTCTCTTTTATATTTGATCATAGAAAACTGATTAAGCAAGAATTTATCATGGAAGATAGTTTGAATTTTTCAGTAACAAATGTGGTATGGATACCCCCAACAGTAGTCGTAATATTGGCAAAAGAGGAATCAAAAACGATGGACAAGTAAGTCGTGGAGCAAAACGACGCTGCTTTAAAAAGAATCAACTAAAGGAGGATGTCCGTTATGACTTTTTTTTTTTTTTGTTAAATTCATTCACTGAGATGAACAATCAGTGCTGCTGAGCATACTGTTATTGGTTGAAAGAATAAAATTTAAAATTTTTGCTACCCTTTCGTGAAAACTTGCTCTCCCTTTGTATTCACCAGGGAGAATGTGATCTGTCGAAATCAGATTCTTCATAGAAAATATAAAGTGAGGACCAATAATGTGAGCATGAATATCTATCATTGAGATTTCTCTCATGTTGTAGGTTGGAAATGAAGACTCTGGCGAGGAAAAGTCATTCAGAGGATGGAAGGAAGACGAAGATGCTCCCCTTCCCAAGTTTCTACGTGATGATGTCGCTCGAATTTATGAAGATGTTATGGGTAGATATAGAAATATGATTGATGCCGAAGGCCTTGTATGTTTTGGAATTCCTACAGTTCAAATTAATTCATCTTCATTTCTTTCCCCAGTTTAAAAATTTGCGAATTTCTCGAAACATTCCTTACCAATTGTAAATTGAAATGTAGTTTTAAATTATAATTCCAGAAACTATATCACAAAATGCTACGGGAAGAACCACGCAAGAAATATGTCGTAAGTTTTAGTGCAATACTAGACTTTCACATTTACTTTTGTAGATTTTTAAAGATATGATTGGCCTTTCTGGATGACTCAGTAGATAAGAGTTTTAAAAAACAATTGCCTAAAACTGAAGAGCGTAATAAAGACTGTGAAAAATGATGGCAGTTCTAGCTTGCGATTAGCGATTTATTCATAAGAAACGATACTGCTTTGGCAGATAATCAGATGTGTTCCAGTAATTTCCTCATTATCTTATTTGCATTTTCATTCTCAGTGTACGAATCGCAATAATCTGGAAGCAATGAAGTGCGACGAGATTTTCTGATAGCTACTAACATGCTGACAAGATATTGCACCGCAATTAATTGCAAATCCTGGTAGTAGTGAAATGACAAAAACTATATTTATTTGCGAAGATTTTTTGCAGACAGCAAATAGGGTAAAGCCTTTAAATCTGAAACCAATGCCAGAACAACCAACATATTTCACGTTGCGGTCAGCAATGAATGCAGTCCTGCAGAAATGTCCTTCAAAATGTATTGAAGCCGTTATGAGCACACCACGAATGCAGTACTGGACACTCACTGAATGCAACATCCTGGTTCCTTTTTCTTCGCCTATGTTTGTTCTGTGGCGATGAAATCATTGGAATTGGTCCCAGTTCTAATTTTAGTTTAATTGAAGTTTGTTCAGATATAAAAGTACTAAATTTACCTTTTTTGAATATTAAAATGAAAATTTGGTTCTTATCGCAGTCATTCTTATAATTAAGTGTGAGGATGAACGCACGCTTTCACACATTCCTTTTTTGGGAGACCACGAAGAAGATGATATTGGTTTTGGCGAAGAACTGTTGAAGACCTTCCAGGAAGTGAGTATATTAAACATATAATATATTAAACATATAAGTGCTTTGTCGAAATTTCTTTTTAGAAAACTATTTTTGGTAATTTGTTTTGGCTGAGAATATGTTGTTAAAGGGTATACATGGCACCAAAGTTGGTTGTGGTTCATTCATCAACGATCATATACTTTATCAAGTTTTAAAAAAACTGTTCGACAAGTATTCAGATATCGGTGCGTTTGAAGAGGCCTGCTTTGAAATAGATTCTGTTTAGAGTTTGATGTAAAATGTTATAGTTTGAAATCTGATTTTACCTCCACATGCATTTTTGTTTGTTTTTTTTTCGTTGTTTTGTGCACTCGAAAATAGATGAAATATTCAAAGGTAGGAAACTAAACCCTACTGTTTTATAATTATATTCATATATTAATGTAAACTTATATATGCTACGAAATTTCAGCCGACCGGGTGATATATAAAGCGGTTTACGAACAGTTTCCAAACAAAGCTTCAGTTCAACAACTTCCATTTTTGTATATTTTTAATCCTTTTCATGAATTTTCAGAAGATCTGAGGCATTTTTGTTTTTAATGCTACCAATCGTACTATGGATTTTTTGTCTCTTATATTATACTTTGTATTTTTTTTCTTAGATTTGAAGATTTAAAGCGACGCTTTGGTCCATCAGATTTACCCACTGAAGATAGCAATCAGTCGGAATTCCTGGATACGAAAGCACTTCATTCATTCCAACTTCTTTTGTGTAATCGTTGTCTCACCTACGATTGCCTTATTCATGGTTCATATTGTTATTCATTGATAACAACAAAAAGACTCAGCGAACAAACTATAGAAGATTTGTATGCCCTATCAGGGTTAATAATATCCGCATTATTCTCCATTCTCTTTATGGTTTAAAAAGAAAAGAATTATATAAAGTCATTGTTTTTTTTTTCTCATGATTTTTTTAAAAATCTACTTTGTTGCTGATTTCGGTTTGTTGTTTCGCTTTACCAAAATTTTTGAATCTTTTGTGATTTCAATTGTATTATCAGAAAGATGAGCCTTAGGCGTCAATGCGACAGAGACGGAAGTCCGGCGACGTCGTGGTGTAACAAGTGTTGAACCTTGTGGACCGCAGTGTTTCAGACATTTGACGAAAGAAATGGTAGGGTTTTACTTCGAAAAATTTAAAAGGAATTAAAATTAAAAATTTGGAATACATAAATAATGAATGACTCTTGTATATTCTTTTATGTCGTTTTTATGTTAGTCTTTTTCATTATTTGCAACTTGTATAGAATTTCCGTATTAGCTGAATGATTCGATTTAGGTTGAGAAACAGATCCATCTGGAGGTGGTTGGATAAAACTATTTATAGCTTAGTTGTTTTCATTTGTGTATTTGGATGAATCGCTTGAGGTTTCTTAATTTTAAGAGCTTAAAATTCACTAGAAAAATGGGGTGAATAGGGTTCGCCAGACTTTTTAATCTATTGATGTATCTTAGCTTTTATATTTGAATTAAATTTTCGATTATGACAAGATTCGTCCACTTTAAAAAAAATTTTTGTTATAGGAGGAAGCAAAACGCCGTTGTGCTTCTCCACCGGATGCGAAAATGATAAACGCCATATTAAATATAAAGACCGAGGATATCAACTGGACAGCACAACAAGAGTCAATGTTCATCGCCCTACGGCGTACTTACAAAAATGACTTCTGCAAATTAGCTGAAGTTCTAAATTTGGTTGTAGAAAACGCACCATCGAAATCTTGTCGAGAGGTATTTTTAGTCTTGAACTATGGCGAATATAACTCTTGCAAAGCCAGTAAGTTCTTCTATGCAGATTATTTTTTATTACAGTTATATGCATATTCTTTTCGCACAGCTCCAATATCACCCAGAACCGACGTTTCACCAAATTCACCACCCAAAAAGAAGAAGTAATTTTTTATTATTTGTGCTGTTTACATTACAAAATATTGTTTTTCTTTTAACCACTTTACTTTTTAAGATTTTTATCATGTTTTAGTTTTCTGGCAAGCGGTTGGTTTTCTTTTTTTTCTATCTAGCACTTTTCAACATTATCTGTTAGTTGAAGAATGAAGCAATACTACCGTGTGGTATGGAAATTCCACTGAACATAAAGCTAAGTGTCGTTTTTACAGAAAACATGAATATATGAACACATATATAAAGATTTGTACTGTGAAGAATAGTTCAGCAGGAAGCCTTATGACAATAATAGATTGTAACCTTATGACAATAATAGATTGTAATGTAAGAGATGTGTTTGTAAGAGATATGAGAATGTAAGAGATTGTAAGAGATATATGTGTTTCGTCAGTGATGATTAGTTTAATAATTATAATCAGCAAATTCTATCAAAAGATTGGTTAAAATAATTCTGGTCGAATATGTTATTTCATTGTTTACAATTTTCTTCTAGTCATAACTGCTGATGAAAGTCTTGATTATCTTTAAAATATTAAAGTTACGTTGTGAGTAAATTTTAC